CTAGTGCAATGGCAGGAATCTGTAAGTGGGAGGTAAGGGAGGAGTCGACAGTAGGGAGTGATCATTACCCCATAGTATGCACAGTAGGCCGGAGGGAGGAGGAGGTGTTAGTGGATGGAGGAGGCAGGTGGGTGTTTGGAAGGGCAAAGTGGGACCAGTTTCAGGAGCTGAGAGAGCAGGTGATGGCTCTGGGGAGAGGGGATGTGGATAGTATGAATAACTGGGTGAGAACAGCTTTATTGGGGGCAGATACTGAGGCTATACCTAAGAGTTCAGGGAGGAGGAGGAGGAAAGCAGTGTGGGGCAGCGGTGAGGAGTAGGAACAAGCATTTAGAGTACTGAAAAGGACACAACTATAGACCCAGTGCTCAGCTTAGAAGCAGAGGTCAGGAAGGCTCAGGTGAACAAGGAGACAGTTGTGGCTGTTCTTGTTTTTTATGTGGAGAAGGTGTATGATATGATGTGGAAGGAGGGGTTGCTAATTAAGCTGGATATTTTTGGGGTATGAGGAAGAACATACAACTGGATAAAGGATTTCCAGTTTGGAAGGTCTATCCAGGTGAGGGTGGGGAAGTCTCTATCAGTATGAGAGGGAAAGAGAGAGGCTGAGATCCAGTATGAGGGAGAAGGGGATGCAGGAAATGTGTAAAGAGCATACTGAGTAGAACGTCATTAGATATGGTCTCAAATGTATCTTTTTTAAGAGAAACGGGGCTGGATTTAGTTTCTCCCTGTCTCTAGCCCACACTTCAGTACAGTAGGTGGCGGTAATGCACCATAACGTTGGATGCCAACCGCTGATAAACACCTCCAAAGATACCAAAGAACAAGATGAATGGAGAGAGCGAGAGATGCTATGCTACTAGTCTCAGGCCATGAATATGCATAGCCATCTCGAGACAACTCCGATATAAAGTGTTTTTTCTCAAAGTTGCCGGGATGTCACGTGTCCTACTTATATCAGTACACTCTTAACAACTTAAGCACTACGAAACTTCTATTTGATCAAATAAACCTCACGTAGCAAATAACCCATTCATTTTTTGTTGTTGACCAAATTCGACACTGTGTAGCTAACTGTAGCTGATGGTGTTACAACAGAATCAAGTGTGTAACAAACATTTTAGCTAGTCAGGTGCAAGCTACAGTTCTGGTCTTACAGTTAGAGTTTAAAAAATAATTTAACTAACTACTGTAACTGATTAGAAACATTTAGATTTTGGTGTGGCTGATTAGAATGGACACTATGCCACAAGGGGGGTTATAGAGTAGACTGGGCTTCAAACTGGCAATGTGCAGGATCATTCCAAATCATTTTCAATTAAGGCAATTAAATTAGAGACTCAATTAGAGTGCTGTCAATCAGTATTAGAAATCTAATTCATTCTGTAGCATTGCATTTGATAACCTGGGATGGGTGCTGACTAAATATAGACTATGTATGTGAATCTTCAATGACCATGCTAACATTTTCTGTTTTAGTGAGGTTTGGCCAGACCAGATGAAGTGGATCGGAGTATTTTGCCAGCATTCACAGATCCTCTAGAAACTCCTGCCTCCATAAATACGAATAAATACTCCGTAAGAAGGTTTAGCCAGGAATGTATCATCAAAGGTGTGATTTAGGCCTAGTTTTTTCTTAACACAGTAGGACAATGGGAAACATTCAGCACATTGTGTCCGTCCCAAATGGAACCCTATTCACTATATAGTGCACTACATAGGGAAAAGGGTGCCATTTGGGATGCAGCCATTGTTTCTAGTCCTGCTTGAGCTAAATGTTTCTTTCCTCAGGTGACGTGCTATGGTGTAAGGATGGCAGTCGGCTATACAGAGCCGTTAGGAGCACAGAGGAAGTGAAGGCGTTGCTGGTGCAGCACCATGACAACAACAGCCATGCAGGCAATCACAAGACCCGCACGCCAGTTTTCACTACTGGAGCTCTATCTCACCAGACACTAAAAAGTGGATCCATAACTGTGAGACTTGTTCAAAGAAGACATTCCCGCCAGTATCGGATAAATGGCTACGATGTTTTGCCTATGGAAGTAATAACACTGCTTCCCACAATGAAGATGGTACCACTTTTCATCAGTAAAGAAAAAAAATCCTCTGCCATCAACTGTACAGTCGTGGTCAAAATGTTGGTCTTCACAAAGTTCGCTGCTTCAGTGTTATAAGATATTTTTGTCAGATGTTACTATAGTATACTGAAGTATTTTTAAAATTTTTAAATGTTACCTTTATTTAACTAGGCAAGTCAGTTAAGAACAAATTCTTATTTACAATGACGGCCTACACCGGCCAAACCCGTACGACAGAGAGGTTCAATTGTTGTGAAGAAGGCTTCAGGGCGCCCAAGAAAGTCCAGCAAGTGCCAGGACCGTCTCCTAAAGTTGATTCAGCTGCGGGATCGGGGCACCACCAGTGCAGAGCTTGCTCAGGAATGGCAGCAGGCAGGTGTGAGTGCATCTGCACGCACAGTGAGGCGAAGACTTTTGGAGGATGGCCTGGTGTCAAGAAGGGCAGCGAGGAAGCCACTTCTCTCCAGGAAAAACATCAGGGACAGACTGATATTCTACAAAAGGTACAGGGATTGGACTGCTGAGGACTGGGGTAAAGTCATTTTCTCGGATGAATCCCCTTTCCGATTGTTTGGGCCATCCGGAAAACACCTTGTCTGAAGAAGACAAGGTGAGCGCTACCATCAGTCCTGTGTCATGCCAACAGTAAAGCATCCTGAGACCATTCATGTGTGGGGTTGCTTCTCAGCCAAGGGAGTGGGCTCACTCACAATTTTGCCTAAGAACACAGCCATGAATAAAGAATGGTACCAACTCATCCTCCGAGAGCAACTTTTCCCAACCATCCAAGAACAGTTTGGTGACAAATAATGCTTTTTCCAGCATGATGGAGCACCTTGCCATAAGGCAAAAGTGATAACTAAGTGGCTCGGGGAACAAAACAAACTCCCCAGACCTTAATCCCATTGAGAACTTGTGGTCAATCCTCAAGAGGCAGGTGGACAAACAAAAACCAACAAATTCTGACAAACTCCAAGCATTGATTATGCGAGAATGGGCTGCCATCAGTCAGGATGTGGCCCAGAAGTTAATTGACAGCATGCCAGGGCGGATTGCAGAGGTCTTGAAAAAGAAGGGTCAACACCGCAAATATTGACTCTTTGCATAAACTTAATGTAATTGTCAATAAAAGCCTTTGACACTTATGGAATGCTTGTAATTATACTTCAGTTTACCATAGTAACATCTGACAAAAATATATAAAAACACTGAAGCAGCAAACTTTGTGAAGACCAATACTTGTGTCATTCTCAAAACGTTTGACCACGACTGTACAAGCTTGTGTTGTCCAGCCGTAGGCAATCAACCTCTAACAACAACCTACGAGCCTTGGTCTTCATGTACCACATCCAACAACTCCGCAGTGGAGCAATTGATATGGAGGAGGATGAAATGGATGATTACATTGAGATATAGGCCTAGATGAGCTAGGCCATTGCTCACCCCCCACCTCTCATTATGTTCAGAAAAAGAGCTGTTTGTTCAAAAAAGCCCAAAAGAGCACTTTGTCTCTAATTGTTTTCATGGAAGATGAATTTGAGATATAATATGTCTTAATTGCTGATTGGACCCTAGGTGTTTCTTTTGCCCTAGTTTAATATTTTGTAGTACCTACAGATTATGGGGGCATACATTTTTTTTGTTTTGGAACTCTGAGCTAGCTTCCACCCCTTTTTTTGTTCAGAAAAATAGCTGTTTGTTCAGGAAAATAAACTAAATTGAGCACTTTAAATGTTTCTATATGTTTTTGTATCATGTATTCTGCTTAAAATCATCCTAAAACTGAGCACAATTGACTTTTTATTGCTTTATGAAAAGCTGCAGCAAAATCAAGCATTTTTGGCTGCAGAAATCACACAAATTCACGGAATCACACAATCAAATTCATTGAATCTGATCAAGCTCTGACGCTGGAATTGAATCTGATCAGCCTGTCAGGAATGGAGCTCACCCACTCTGTACATTTAAATATTATCCATAAAACATGAAGTGTCTCTTACAATTATACATACATAATTTATGCAAGCTCACAACCAGCACAGATATCAAGTTAGCTAGCTAGCTAACACGACAATTTAGCTAGCTAGCTCGCTCAGAAGACTAGCCAAGTTAGCTGCGTTGTTGCTTGCATGCGATTGGCTGTGGTCTTTTTGGGTGGCACACAGCCTGGGAGACAGTGTTCCCTGTCAAACATCGTTCAGGGCTTAAATGCCCCACAAGGGTTTAGATGGGCTCTTAGCTCAAGGTATGGGACATTTAGCTTTCAAACATTCTAATTTATAAACCGATAATGAGCTCCAAACACAAATGAAAGCATGATGTTAGCATGAAATGTACCACCCCTTGGCGTAGCAATCAATAAAAACGTATGCACGGATCCACCGTGGGCTCTGCCGCCTCAGCCATACTGTCAATCTATCATCAATACGACCACACTCCTATTTATAATAGAGTTTATATCTAGTAATCTCGACAAAACATTTTATGTCTTGATCATGAGAAAATTATCTAGGATCTCGACAAAACACATTTTGTTATGTCTTGATCAAGGGATAAATAAGTTGTGATAAATAAGTTGTGATCGTGACATAACGAGTGATTTAAAAACAATATGAATATGTCCTCTCTGCACTTCCGTAGATTATTGTGTGATGTTGCCAAATTGTTTATTAACGGGTTGGATAAAAATACAGTTGACTGACTCATTTTTGCATGTAGCCTCTAATTATTTTGTCAAATTATTTATTCCCAGGAACATCAAACCTGTTTTTTTTTTACAGTCTGGTACAACCTGTGGCACAATGTGTTGAAGTCAATGGGTTGACGGTTTCTGTATTGATTTATTCTCCTGAAATGTCAACTTTGGCACTTCGATCGATGTTGCTGCGCTCCATTATTCCTAGTTGAAAAGCGGCAGATGTGTTCACTTCGCCAGTCTAGCTACAAAATAAATATTATTTTGGACCGAAACATCGGCATCCCACCAGAAGTTGCATCAAATACGTAGCTACTTTTTCGGCACAGGTGAAACTTTTATGTTTATCTTTATTTTGGATGGATTTACTGATAGATACGTTTCCGTGCCAGCATTAGCTATCTAACGTTTACTGTATGTTTTGCTAGCTCTGGTAAAGTTAACGTTAGCTTGCAGTGCTAGCTAACCTCATATAGGAATGTATATGTTAGCTAGCTAGTTGCAGCCTGTCTTTCTTTACAAGCTAGCAAAGACTGCTCTGCCTGTAACTGGCAGCTAACTAGCCAACTAACGTTAGTTCGCTAACTTCGTTGGGAGAAGCTGGAGAAATTGGCTTGTTAGTAACGTTAGTTATCTAGCTGGCTGGCTTGAATGTTATTACTAAACACAATTCGGCCGGATCCTGGCTAACATTATTGCTGTATGTCCTGCTATCTCTATCTGACATTGTGTTCACGATTTGACATATGTAATCTGTCATCATAGCTAGTGCTAGCTAACTGAGTCATCAGGTCATAAAAAACGAGAAGTTGGAATGAGGGATATTAGCTAGATTAGTAGCTAGTCAGCACAGGTGTAGCATAGAAGTGATCCCCTGCCCTGAATAAGCCCTCTCATGAGTATAGTGTGTGATGATCTAGCTAGCAGCACACTCTGCACTGATCCTGTTGGATGACTGTCTGAATAATTCATTGCCTGTGCTGTCCCAGATAGGCTTACACTTTTTTCACTCCTAGAAAAAACAAGGAAGAACAGTGTCCTCCACTTCACAGCCCTACTTTGCAGGAGATCAAGATTAGGCTATTTGTCAATGTCAATATAATTGTTCTGTTTGAGTGACCTGGTTGCAGTGCATGTTATCATGAGGAGTGTCCCCTTTCACATCGGAGTCTGAACTCTGAATCTCTCTATTGATGTCTTGCAGGTTTTCCAGGTCATGATGGAACAGAGCAGTTTTTTCCCACAGTGAGAGGGAAGAAGCAGTCCTTTTCTGTTTGTGGCTGAAGTTTGGAATTTGTCCGGCTCAGAGGGAGGCCGAGACTGTGGCCTGGAGCTTCTGCAAGAGGAGGGGAAGGAGGGAGGAGAATGGAACGAGCCCACAGTTTGCTCCTGAACGAGGAGGCATGCAGCCATCTGGGAGAACACCAGAGAGCTGAGTTTGTCTTTGAGTGGCTGCGTTTCCTGAAGAAGTTGCTCCCTGCTGCAGACAGGGTGAGAGGAGAGGAGGAGGGGAATAGGGAAAAGAGGAGAGAGCCCAGTGGGCGCTTGCAGACAATGGCCTCCCCTGTGACAGACAGAGCTTGGTGCATTCCCAAGCAGAGTCAGACCAGAAGAGAGCCATTTGAGCAGGCTGAGATTAGCCCAGTGCTTTCTTCTGGGGCCGTCTCTTTCAGCATGATGCCAGTCAGTCTGTCTTTCTGGGACTGATTAAAGCAGTGAGTGCTGTAAAGGCTAAATCATGGTCTGCTCTGCTGGTTCCATGTCATGAAGAAAAAATTAACTACAGATGAAATGTTGATGTGATTTGTATTGCCAGTAGCCACCATCATTTAGCAAATAGTGTCCACAAGTTTAGTTGACTCTGGGGAAGTAGATAAAGGGCCTCATTGCTAAAATCCCGAAGTATCCCTTTAATAAACAAGAGTTGCTCATCATGCAATAATGTTAATTTATGAATGATGCTTTTGTTTATGCAAGTCATGTTGAAAATTAGTGCTGCCTGACTGTGAGATCTGTTTTATGTAGTTACTGTCATCTATGTCATGTTGTCAATAAATGTTAATGGTTTCATGTTGACTTTAACTCTGTGCTCTTGAATGCAAGACAAATCCCTGTGAAAGGCCAAATAAATTAACTGAACTGAGTCTATTTTCTCCCAGGCGGATGTGAAGAAGAACCAGAAGCGTCTGGTCGAACAGTTGACTGTGATTCTGATTGGTTCTCCGGGCCCCCCAACCCGCTGGCTCCTAGCCCATTGCCTGGCCCTGCTCTACAGGGTGGGAGACTCACTCACCTCCAGCCTCACTGTGGACAGGTGCAATGACATCATCCGCAGCAAGGACGACTCTCCCAGCTACCTGCCAACCCGACTGTAAGTAGCCTACTGCAGCTGAAATCCCCTTCAGTTATAGAGGGATGATGGTGCATATCAATTATCAGACTGATTACTCATTAATGATTATAATGTGTGTTACTCATGATGATACCTTAACGCTTCTATTACATTCCATGTATAAATGGTTGTTGAAATCAATCTTATTATGATTAACTACCGTTCCTCCAAAGTGGCTAAATTCATACAGTAGCATTACACTGGTACAGTGAGGGGAAAAAAGTATTTGATCCCCTGCTGATTTTGTACGTTTGCCCACTGACAAAGACATGATCAGTCTATAATTTTAATGGTAGGTTTATTTGAACAGTGAGAGACAGAATAACAACAACAAGATCCAGAAAAACGCATGTCAAAAATGTTATAAATTGATTTGCATTTTAATGAGGGAAATAAGTATTTGACCCCTCTGCAAAACATGACTTAGTACTTGGTGGCAAAACCCTTGTTGGCAATCAGAGGTCAGACGTTTCTTGTAGTTGGCCACCAGGTTTGCACACATCTCAGGAGAGATTTTGTTCCACTCCCCTTTGCAGATCTTCTCCAAGTCATTAAGGTTTTGAGGCTGACGTTTGGCAACTCGAACCTTCAGCTCCCTCCACAGATTTTCTATGGGATTAAGGTCTGGAGACTGGCTAGGCCACTCCAGGACCTTTAATGTGCTTCTTCTTGAGCCACTCCTTTGTTGCCTTGGCCGTGTGTTTTGGGTCATTGTCATGCTGGAATACCCATCCACGACCCATTTTCAATGCCCTGGCTGAGGGAAGGAGGTTCTCACCCAAAATTTGACGGTACATGGCCCCGTCCATCGTCCCTTTGATGCGGTGAAGTTGTCCTGTCCCCTTAGCAGAAAAAACCCCCAAAGCATAATGTTTCCACCTCCATGTTTGATGGTGGGGATGGTGTTCTTGGGGTCATAGGCAGCATTCCTCCTCCTCCAAACACAGCGAGTTGAGTTGATGCCAAAGAGCTCGATTTTGGTCTCATCTGACCACAACACTTTCACCCAGTTCTCCTCTGAATCATTCAGATGTTCATTGGCAAACTTCAGACGGCCCTGTATATGTGCTTTCTTGAGCAGGGGGACCTTGCGGGCGCTGCAGGATTTCAGTCCTTCACGGCGTAGTGTGTTACCAATTGTTTTCTTGGTGACTATGGTCCCAGCTGCCTTGAGATCATTGACAAGATCCTTTCGTGTAGTTCTGGGCTGATTCCTCACTGTTCTCATGATCATTGCAACGCCACGAGGTGAGATCTTGCATGGAGCCCCAGGCCGAGGGAGATTGACAGTTATTTTGTGTTTCTTCCATTTGCGAATAATCGCACCAACTGTTGTCACCTTCTCACCAAGCTGCTTGGTGATGGTCTTGTAGCCCATTCCAGCCTTGTGTAGGTCTACAATCTTGTCCCTGACATCCTTGGAGAGCTCTTTGGTCTTGGCCATGGTGGAGAGTTTGGAATCTGATTGATTGATTGCTTCTGTGGACAGGTGTCTTTTATACAGGTAACAAACTGAGATTAGGAGCACTCCCTTTAAGAGTGTGCTCCTAATCTCAGCTCGTTACCTGTATAAAAGACACCTGGGAGCCAAAAATCTTTCTGATTGAGAGGGGGTCAAATACTTATTTCCCTCATTAAAATGCAAATCAATTTATAACATTTTTGACATGCGTTTTCTGGATTTTTTTGTTGTTATTCTGTCTCTCACTGTTCAAATAAACCTACCATTAAAATTATAGACTGATCATGTCTTTGTCAGTGGGCAAACGTACAAAATCAGCAGGGGATCAAATACTTTTTTCCCCTCACTGTATGTAACGAACTGCAAAAAAATAACAACAAAAAAAACACCAGGAAGACTTCGGATTACACAGTGTGTGTCTGTGCAGACAAGAGGAATGGTATTTGTTGTAACTGATTTACTTTTTTTTGTCCATAGGGCAGCCATTGCCTGTCTGGGTGCCCTTTACGAACAGCTTGGCCGTTTGCTGGTCAACACATTTAAAGAGACTTTGGCAAATTTGTTGAAGGCCATGAAGTCTGCAGAGGTGAGTGTAAAATTAAAGGATCTGTAATGGTAATGCTAAAAATGTATTGATATACCATTGTGCTAGCCAGTGGCAATATGAAGGCCAGTGTTTTACGTCTGAATAGCTGATATACACTGAGCATAAAAAACATTAAGGACACCTTCCTAATATTGAGTTGCACCCCCCCCTTTTGCCCTCAGAATAGCCTCAATTTGTCGGGAAACATGGACTCTACAAGGTGTCGAAAGCGTTCCACAGGGATGCTGGCCCATGTTGACTCCAATGCTTCCCACAGTTGTGTCAAGTTGGCTGGATGTCCTTTGGGCGGTGGACCATTCTTGATACACACAGGAAACTGTTGAGCGTGAAAAACCCAGCAGCATTGCAGTTTGACACAATCTGAATGGACACATACACAATCTATGTCTCAATTATCTCAAGGCTTAAATCATTTTTTAACCCGTCTCCTCCCCTTCATCTACTGATTGAAGTGGATTTAACAAGTGACATCAACAAGGGATCATAGCTTTCACCTGGATTCACGTGGTCAGTCTGTCATGGAAAGAACAGGCGTTCACTCAGTGTATAGCCTACAGGTATATGCCACTGAGCAGACACTTTTATCCAAAGCGACTTACAGTACAGTGAGTGCATACATTTTCAGTATGTGTAGCCTATGTGATCACTGCAGGGATTGAACCCCCAACCTTGTCATAGCTAGCGCCAAGCTCTTACCAATTGAGCCACACAGGACCACTGATTAATTGTGCTGTTGTCTGGCCATGCTCCAGTCCCAGGGTCGCTATGAGATCATGCTGAGCGTGGAGAAGATCCTGAGGGGCCTGGGGGTCAGCGCTGTGCCCTGTCACAGAGACATCTACAAGGCTACACGCGTCTGTCTCACCGACCGCTCCATGGCCGTGCGCTGTGTTGCCGCCAAGGTAGCTACTGCCTACCGCTTTCCTCCCTCCAACTAAACTGCTATGCTATAACATACACTTGTTTTGGTACTGTCCATTTGTAGCTTGTTTTTGGACACAGGTCCAGGAATGGCTAAAGGATTGCAATATTTACCTGGAGCTAACCCTGCAGATAGCACTACTGGGTGATCTGAAAAGTCATAGTCAATCGATCAATAACATAATAATACTATTAGCAAAAATGTTTATTTTCAATTCACAATCTGTAGAAACAATGAGAATAGAAAGGTTCAGAACTTTTGTAAGACATCACAGTACAGTTGAAATAAATATGGCAAATAGAAATCCTATATGGATGGTGTTAAAAGATAGATGGGAGGTGTTGGATGGAATTGAAGGATGGGGACTAATAACAACTAACAACAAACAATAACAAGATGAATAATGTAGGCACGCTGTGTCCATAATAAGTGTATGGGTTGTAGGTTGGGAGCTTTTGTGAAGGAGCACAGTTAGAAAGATATGGCATATAGAAGCAAACCGGATGGACATCATGAAAATGATCAGCGAGGTTGAGAGTAGATTAAGTTCAGGAGAAAGAACAAACAAAATGTAATTATTGTAAAATTGTCCATAAAATGTAGATAGTGGGTATGGGCTGGAAGTAGAGGCCTAGGCGTTGTTGTTCACTAGTTTACTCCAGTGGGGAAAGGGTGGCGGGGTTGGAAAGTAATAAAGGGGAATATATATATATTTTTAAAGGGTATATATGGATGGATGGATGGATGGATGGGGGATTGGAAGTGATGCAGACAATTACATTGATGGAAGTTACAATCTATCTGCAATATTAAGCTGATCTACCCCCCCCCCCCAAAAAAAAAAAACAGCAACATACACTGTATAGCCTAGCTGTTGATGCTACCACGTTAAGGACATTACAACACATTGTTCTCATTCTACATAGTGTTAGGCCGTATGTCATTCAAACATGCGTTCCTCTCTCCAACTGAACTGCTGCTCCAACCCCATGGGGCATATAGAGTGGGGGAAAAAAGTATTTAGTCAGCCACCAATTGTGCAAGTTCTCCCACTTAAAAAGATGAGAGAGGCCTGTAATTTTCATCATAGGTACACGTCAACTATGACAGACAAAATGAGGGAAAAAAATCCAGAAGATCACATTGTAGGATTTTTTATGAATTTATTTGCAAATTATGGTGGAAAATAAGTATTTTGTCACCTACAAACAAGCAAGATTTCTGGCTCTCACAGACCTGTAACTTCTTCTTTAAGAGGCTCCTCTGTCCTCCACTCGTTACCTGTATTAATGGCACCTGTTTGAACTTGTTATCAGTATAAAAGACACCTGTCCACAACCTCAAACAGTCACACTCTAAACTCCACTATGGCCAAGACCAAAGAACTGTCAAAGGACACCAGAAACAAAATTGTAGACCTGCACCAGGCTGGGAAGACTGAATCTGCAATAGGTAAGCAGCTTGGTTTGAAGAAATCAACTGTGGGAGCAATTATTAGGAAATGGAAGACATACAAGACCACTGATAATCTCCCTAGATCTGGGGCTCCATGCAAGATCTCACCCTGTGGGGTCAAAATGATCAAAAGAACGGTGAGCAAAAATCCCAGAACCACATGGGTGGACCTAGTGAATGACCTGCAGAGAGCTGGGACCAAAGTAACAAAGCCTACCATCAGTAACACACTACGCCGCCAGGGACTCAAATCCTGCAGTGCCAGACGTGTCCCCCTGCTTAAGCCAGTACATGTCCAGGCCCGTCTGAAGTTTGCTAGAGTGCATTTGGATGATCCAGAAGAGGATTGGGAGAAATGTCATATGGTCAGATGAAACCAAAATAGAACTTTTTGGTAAAAACTCAACTCGTCGTGTTTGGAGGACAAAGAATGCTGAGTTGCATCCAAAGAACACCATACCTACTGTGAAGCATTGGGGGTGGAAACATCATGCTTTGGGGCTGTTTTTCTGCAAAGGGACCAGGACGACTGATCCGTGTAAAGGAAAGAATGAATGGGGCCATGTATCGTGAGATTTTGAGTGAAAACCACCTTCCATCAGCAAGGGCATTGAAGATGAAACGTGGCTGGGTCTTTCAGCATGACAATGATCCCAAACACACCGCCCGGGCAACGAAGGAGTGGCTTCGTAAGAAGCATTACAAGGTCCTGGAGTGGCCTAGCCAGTCTCCAGATCTCAACCCCATAGAAAATCTTTGGAGGGAGTTGAAAGTCCGTGTTGCCCAGCGACAGCCCCAAAACATCAATGCTCTAGAGGAAATCTGCATGGAGGAATGGGCCAAAATACCAGCAACAGTGTGTGAAAACCTTGTGAAGACTTACAGAAAACGTTTGACCTGTGTCATCGCCAACAAAGGGTATATAACAAAGTATTGAGAAACTTTTGTTATTGACCAAATACTTATTTTCCACCATATAATTTTCAAATAAATTCATTAAAAATCCTACAATGTGATTTTCTGGATTTCTTTTCTCATTTTGTCTGTCATAGTTGACGTGTACCTATGATGAAAATTACAGGCCTCTCTCATCTTTTAAAGTGGGAGAACTTGCACAATTGGTGGCTGACTAAATACTTTTTTCCCCACTGTGTGTGTGTGTGTGTATGTATGTATGTATGTATGTACATATATATATATATATATATATGGGGGATTGGAAGTGATGCAGACAATTACATTGATGGAAGTTACAATCTATCTGCAATATTAAGTTGATCTACTCTCCCCCCCCAAAAAAAAAAAAACCCATACACTGTATAGCCTAGCTGTTGATGCTACCACGTTAAGGACATTACAACACATTGTTCTCATTCTACATAGTGTTAGGCCGTATGTCATTCAAACATGCGTTCCTCTCTCCAACTGAACTGCTGCTCCAACCCCATGGGGCATATAGCTTTTGGTGCTACCAAGTTAAGCAATACATTACAATCATTTTATGTTATTTTGGTCTCACTGATTCAATTGAGCTTCATTTCACACTGATGCGTGTCTTTTTTGTAGATTTTTCATATAGCTAAGATGGTGCATGTAACATATTTGCCATCCATATATGTTTTTAAATGTCTGTGTGATGTCTGGCAGTGTCTTCTGGAGCTGCAGAGAGAGGCTGTGTTTCTGTGGACCTCAGAGTTGGAGAACGTAGCCACACTCTGCTTCAGGGCGTTCGAGGGCTCCAACTACGATGTGCGCGTGGCCATCTCCAAGCTGCTGGGTACCCTGCTGGCCACAGCCGTAGAGCCCAAACAACCCACTGGTACAGTAGGCTACAATGGATGACGAGTTGGTAGAATTGCTATTGTTGAGGTTTTGGGATCAAATTGTCTGCTTTTAACTGTATTTCTCAGTGTGGGATTTAGAACCTATATTAAAGAACAGAAATTGAAAATAAAAAACAGTATTGACCCTTCTCTTCCTCCATGTGTCCTCTCCTCCCAGCTCACAGACAGGGCTCCAGACGTAGCTCCTTGGAGGAAGTGATGGATCTGCTGACTGGGGGGTTCCTGCGTGGTGGGGCTGGCTTCCTCAGGGCCAGTGGAGACAAGCTCAAAGGGACCAGCTCTGTTAGCAAAGACATCCGCATTGGCATCACTCAGGTCAGCTCTCTCTGTCTCCATCCTACATGTTAGGCTATTTAGTTTTTTTCTGACCACGTGGCCTGACTAGGAAACACTTGGGCCAGTAGGTTTTCCTGGTCCGGTCACATGGGTCAGGAAATGTCCTGGCTCTATACATGTGCTCATGCTACTAGCTATATGTATTGGGTGCAACTTACTGTTTTCTCTTTTGTTTTTGATTTTGTTCTGTCTAGTCGTGTGTGGTGTTTGTGTCCTGTCTGGGCGGTGCGTGGCTGGAGGCCAACTTCTCAGCCCTGCTGGCCCTTCTCATGGAGCTGGTGTCCCACACACGGGCCACCCACACTCCTGCAGACGCTGTGTGCTGCAGACGCTGCATCTCCTTCATCCTCAGGGCCACACTGGGCTCTCTGCTGGGGGAGAAGGCCCAGATCGCTGCTGCCAAGGAGATCTGCCTGGCCATAGGCAAACAGAAGAGGGCTGTGGGTGAGGGGAAGCTTTAATACACCATTACCCATTGATTGACAAGGATTGATTGCTGAAAGATGTTCTCAGAAATGTCACTTCTTGAATGGTACTTAGGCTTTTTCCCAATTCATCTTTCCTTGATTTTTTTTTTCACGACCTCTCCTCCCCTGCTTCTCAAAACGCATTGGAGGAGAAGGCTAGAGTGGAGGGACCTCGGATCTTCTCCTCCAGTGTGATAAGGAAGGGAGGATGCAAGGAATCTAGGAAAGGCAAATTGACAAAGTGCCAATTTGTTTGAGTGGTTTGAAGAATGATGATCTCATACAGGCCTGATGATGTCATTATGTGCATGTCAGCCTTTCAAATTGATAGTAGTGCCTCTGAAGTGGTTTTCCTTGGTGGTCACGGTGATATTTTCCCCTCCTCCTCAGATGCGGCCATGTGTGATGGGAACGTGGAGACGCGGGTCACCACCACAGACGTAGCTGCCAGTCAGCATGTGTTGGTGTGTGCTCTGCTGGAGCTGGGTAGCCTGGTACAGGGCCTTGGCTCTACTGCTGCATCGCTACTCACTGACACCAGCACAGGTGGGGCCTGAACACACATACTTGTTCCCAGTCTCTAAATGGTCGTATTTTGGAAAAGCTGTGTGTGTTTTATGCTGTGTGGGCAGTCTCTGTAATGCATGGGAGTGTTCAGTGGTCTATAAGGACGAGTCGGTGACAGAGCGAGTAGAGGGGGAGAGAGTGATAAGAGATGGGGAGGGAGAGAGTCTGTGACGGCGTGGGAGGGGGGAGCATGACAGAGAGCGAGAAGAAAGAAGGGAGAGGACAGAGACACTGGAGGTGAATAGGTCATAGTGCCTGGCCTGCTGTGCTGACTCAGGACTCAGCTAAACAACATTAGTCTATATATTTAATGCAGGTGCTATGACAGGATAAGTATAGACTAGTGGAACAGAGCCAGACATATTATTATTATTATTATTATTATTATTATTATTATATTACCTACCAAGTCTCACATAGACAAATACTCAAGGCTCAATATACTGTGTGTGCCTGTCTAAGAGTATAGTTTTGACACATTTTAACTTCTCTTCTTCTGTGGTATTTCTCCCTCCCAGCCTTGCTGGACACGGTGATCTCAGTTCTGCTCCACCCCAGTGTGTCAGCACGGTTAGCGGCTGCCTGGTGTCTACGCTGTGTGGCAGTGGCCCAGCCTTCCCAGGGAGCAGTGCTGCTGGACCGCTGTGGAGAGAGACTCAACGCCCTCAAGTCCTGCCCCGAGGCCGTGGCCGGGTACAGTGCCGCTATCGCCGCCCTGCTGGGGGCCGTGCAGCACTGCCCACTGGGCATCCCCCACACTAAAGGCAATGTAAGGACTGGGCTTCATCTGGGTAACCTTGACCTAGCAACAAATACACATAGGCCTGTTTATAGTTGAGGCCTTGTATGCACACGATTAGTGATTTTACAGTTGAAGTCGGAAGTTTACATACACCTTAGCCAAATACATTTAAACTCAGTTTTTCACAATTCCTGACATTTAATCCTAGTAAATGTTCCCTGTCTTAGGTCAGTTAGGATCACCACTTTATTTTAAGAATGTGAAATGTCAGAATAATAGTAGAGAGAATGATTTATTTAAGCTTTTATTTCTTTCATCACATTCCCAGTGGGTCAGAAGTTTACATACACTCAATTAATATTGCCTTAACATTGTGTAACTTGGGTCAAATGTTTTGGGTAGCCTTCCACAAGCTTCCCACAAGAAGTTGGGTGAATTTTGGCCCATTCCTCCTGACAGAGCTGGTGTAACGGAGTCAGGTTTGTAGGCCTCCTTGCTCGCACACACTTTTTCAGTTCTGCCCACAAATATTGTATAGGACTGAGGTCAGGGCTTTGTGATGGTCACTCCAATACCTTGACTTTGTTGTCCTTAAGCCATTTTGCCACAACTTTGGAAGTATGCTTGGGGTCATTGTCCATTTGGAAGACCCATTTGCAGCCAAGCTTTAACTTCCTGACTTACAGTGGGGGAAAAAAGTATTTAGTCAGCCACCAATTGTGCAAGTTCTCCCACTTAAAAAGATGAGAGAGGCCTGTAATTTTCATCATAGGTACACGCCAACTATGACAGACAAAATGAGAAAAAATTCTCCAGAAAATCACATTGTAGGATTTTTTTATGAATTTATTTGCAAATTATGGTGGAAAATAAGTATTTGGTCAATAACAAAAGTTTCTCAATACTTTGTTATATACCCTTTGTTGGCAATGACACAGGTCAAACGTTTTCTGTAAGTCTTCACAAGGTTTTCACACACTGTTGCTGGTATTTTGGCCCATTCCTCCATGCAGATCTCCTTTAGAGCAGTGATGTTTTGGGGCTGTCGCTGGGCAACACGGACTTTCAACTCCCTCCAAAGATTTTCTATGGGGTTGAGATCTGGAGACTGGCTAGGCCACTCCAGGACCTTGAAATGCTTCTTACGAAGCCACTCCTTCGTTGCCCGGGCGGTGTGTTTGGGATCATTGTCATGCTGAAAGACCCAGCCACGTTTCATCTTCAATGCCCTTGCTGATGGAAGGAGGTTTTCACTCAAAATCTCATGATACATGGCCCCATTCATTCTTTCCTTTACACGGATCAGTCGTCCTGGTCCCTTTGCAGAAAAACAGCCCCAAAGCATGATGTTTCCACCCCCATACTTCACAGTAGGTATGGTGTTCTTTGGATGCAACTCAGCATTCTTTGTCCTCCAAACACGACGAGTTGAGTTTTTACCAAAAAGTTCTATTTTGGTTTCATCTGACCATATGACATTCTCCCAATCCTCTTCTGGATCATCCAAATGCACTCTAGCAAACTTCAGACGGGCCTGGACATGTACTGGCTTAAGCAGGGGGACACGTCTGGCATTGCAGGATTTGAGTCCCTGGCGGCGTAGTGTGTTACTGATGGTAGGCTTTGTTACTTTGGTCCCAGCTCTCTGCAGGTCATTCACTAGGTCCCCCCGTGTGGTTCTGGGATTTTTGCTCACCGTTCTTGTGATCATTTTGACCCCACGGGGTGAGATCTTGCATGGAGCCCCAGATCGAGGGAGATTATCAGTGGTTTTGTATGTCTTCCATTTCCTAATAATTGCTCCCACAGTTGATTTCTTCAAACCAAGCTGCTTACCTATTGCAGATTCAGTCTTCCCAGCCTGGTGCAGGTCTACAATTTTGTTTCTGGTGTCCTTTGACAGCTCTTTGGTCTTGGCCATAGTGGAGTTTGGAGTGTGACTGTTTGAGGTTGTGGACAGGTGTCTTTTATACTGATAACAAGTTCAAACAGGTGCCATTAATACAGGTAATGAGTGGAGGACAAAGGAGCCTCTTAAAGAATAAGTTACAGGTCTGTGAGAGCCAGAAATCTTGCTTGTTTGTAGGTGACCAAATACTTATTTTCCACCATAATTAGCAAATAAATTCATAAAAAATCCTACAATGTGATTTTCTGGAATTTTTTTCCTCAATTTGTCTGTCATAGTTGATGTGTACCTATGATGAAAATTACAGGCCTCTCTCATCTTTTTAAGTGGGAGAACTTGCACAATTGGTGGCTGACTAAATACTTTTTTTCCCCACTGTATGTCTTGAGATGTTGCTTCAATATATCCACATAATTTTCCTTCCTCATGATGCCATCTATTTTGTGAAGTGCACCAGTCCCTCCTGCAGTAAAGCACCCCCACATCATGATGCTGCCACCCCTGTGCTTCACGGTTGGGATGGTGTTCTTCAGCTTGCAAGCGACCCCCTTTTTCCTCCAAACATAACGATGGTCATTATGGCCAAACAGTTCTATTTTTGTTTCATCAGACCAGAGGAAATTTTTCCAAAAAGTACGATCTTTGTCCCCAGGTGCAGTTGCAAACCGTAGTCTGTTTTTTTTATGGCGGTTTTGGAGCAGTGACTTCTTCCTTGCTGAGCGGCCTTTCAGGTTATGTCGATATAGGACTCGTTTTACTGTGGATATAGATACTTTTGTACCTGTTTCCTCCAGCATCTTCACAAGGTCCTTTGCTGTTGTTCTGGGATTGATTTGCACTTTTCGCACCAAAGTACGTTCATCTCTAGGAGACAGAACGCGTCTCCTTCCTGAGCGGTATGACGGCTGCGTGGTCCCATGGTGTTTATATTTGTGTACAATTGTTTGTACAGATTAATGTGGTACCTTCAGGCGTTTGGAAATTGCTCCCAAGGATGAACCAGACTTGTGGAGGTCTACAATTTTTTTTCTGAGGTCTTGGCTGATTTCTTTTGATTTTCCCATGATGTCAAGCAAAGAGGCACTGAGGTTGAAGGTAGGCCTTGAAATACATCCACAGGTACACCTCCAATTGACTCAAATGATGTCAATTAGCCTATCAGAAGCTTCTAAAGCCATGACATCATTTTCTGGAATTTTCCAAGCTGTTTAAAGGCACAGTCAACTTAGTGTATGTAAACTTCTGACCCACTGAAATTGTGATACAGTGAATTATAAGTGAAATAATCTGTCTGTAAACAATTGTTGGAAAAATTACTTGTGTCATGCACAAAGTAGATGTCCTAACCGACTTGCCAAATCTATAGTTTGTTAACAAGAAATTTGTGGAGTGGTATGAAAAACTAGTTTTAATGACTCCAACCTAAGTGTATGTAAACTTCCGACTTCAACTGTATGTCTGTTTAATGGCTCAACCATAGTTCAATTATATGCTCCACTAAATCAATGGGAGCTGATTTATTAGTACAGGTATCTAAATTATAAGTGACCCTCTGTTCCCAGGTGGTGATGGGGCTGGCCGAGGACCTGCTCCGTTCAGCCACTCAGAACAGCCGCATCTCCATCCAACGCACACAGGCTGGCTGGCTGCTGCTCTCCGCCCTCAACACCCTAGGTATGTCCATCATCCACCCTCTGCTGATGTGTTTGCTGGACCAATGGAAATAAATGGCCTAATTCAAAACCTGGTGTTTTTATTCAGCAATAGTCATCTTCAGATCTGGGACCTTCTCAGACCTTGCCAACTACTGCTGTCTTTGTGTGTAAAAGGGATCTTATCTCAGTGAGATCAACCTGTATGAATAAAGGTTGAATAACTTCTTTAGGTCCAGCGGTGGTTGAGCACCACCTCCCCAGGATGCTGCTTCTGTGGAGGTGTACCTTCCCTCCCTCCATCAGAGACCTGGACATGGAGCTCCGCCGTGGGGACCACTTCACCTGGCAGGTCACCCTGGAGGGCCGCGCCGGGGCGCTGTGTGGTGAGAGACACTTTTATACTCACCGTTCATTGAACACAAGCTGGGTTGTTTCAGTTGAATGCTTATGTAAGTTAGTTTAAGCTTGAACTTTCATCTCTAGGTTGATCTAATGTCTCCTATGTTGATGTGTTGTTGTTTTGTTCCAGCCATGAAGAGCCTGGTGATTCACTGCAGAGCTCTCCTGACTGATGATGTTATAGGTCGTCTCCTGACCCCCCTGGCGTGTGCTGTGGCTCTGCTCACCAAGTGAGTCACACCATCTTCTCATACCAGACCTCTGTCATAGGCCACGTTCCAATGTCCATACTAGTATACTAAAAAGAATCCATGCATAATACATGTTTCTATACGAGGTGGTATGCTAATGTGGATGGATATTTGACCAGAGCCTGTACAGAGAGACTTCAACTTTAAACATCATCACTGATGAAGACGGCGACTTAGCTCTGACCCGAAGGTTACCACTGGAGCTAAAAATACCTCCATGTTAGGTGATCAATATCCAGGAACGTTTCTGGTGCGTTGCCAAGTCCACACTTAACAGCTCACTGGTCAAGGACACAGTCAGCCAAACTGCTTCTCTCACTCCTTCTGGGGGGGGATTGTGTACCGTGTTATTTCTGACCAAACTGAAAAAACAAGAGTATAGTTGACTTGAGACTGTTTAATAAGCTTGATTTATTTTGACTGAAACCTAAAGACTGAAAGACTGAAACCTATGTGTGTGTATTGCAGGGTGCCTACTCTGATCAAATCCTATGGCAACCTGATTAAAAACACCTCGGTAGTCTTCAGACTGAGGGTCTATGAGATCCTGGCTCTGTTGCCCCCAAAGACATACGAAGGTGAGAGCTCTTTTCAATGCTACTCTCTGTGACTACTGGTCATAGAAGCTTATACATTGGAAGACTAGCCCTTTGGTGTTTTAAAGGAGATCCTAATAAACTGTACATAATGGCTTAAAGGGTATTTATTATAACCTATTTGTCGATATAAAATAAAATTACTTTTGTTCTGGGAAATAGGGGCTGTAGCTTATCTTAACCCCAGACACCTGGCTCTTCTGTTCCCCCTTCCACACAGAGAGTTTGACAAGATTCTTGTCTATGTAAATTGGCATTGTGCTCTTGATGTTGACATTAAGGCTGTGGTATTGATTGCTAACCCCAGATATGTAACCCTGATGTCCCCCATCCATCCACACAGAGAGTTTTGGCATCGTGCTGAAGCAGCTGGTGACAGACCTGACCGGGCCAGAGAACGTGGTGTGTACAGAGCTGACGTTACTACCACCCCTCTGTCACAGTGATGACCTGGCACTACTGGGACCCGCTCTGCAGGACATGGATCAGCACTACATAGAAGAGCAGGTCTGTCTGAGGCCAAAGGGAGCTGTCACCTTATAATAACAAATAGAACTGATGTATAGGATCTCTGTGACACTTAATCACTTGGTGCTGTAAACCGTAGATATTGTATGCATCTAAAAGTTTTTGTGGATTTGTGAAGGAGGCAAACAAACCTTTAGGATTGAGATGCAGCGATTCAAACGTAGTGCTCTCTGTGTGCGTAGAGAGAGAAGTGTGTGTGTGTGTGTGTGTGGAGGCCCAGGTGTGTGACCTTGCTGTTTTGTGTCTATTGCAGTTACAGGGGAGCAGTGTTGGAGGAGGGACCCTGGAGTATGACCCCTTCACCATCTGTGTGAAATGCCAAGATGTTCCCGCCCCCCTGCCCCCTCCTACTGCCCTCACCACCGCTGCCATACAGCTCTTTGGAGTCATCTTTCCCCACATCATCATCCCACTGAGGTACACACACGTAACCACACTTACACACACTCACTCACTATGTCTTACTATACTTGTGAGGACTTTTAGCGGACCAACAATTGATTCCCATTCAAAATCCTATTTTCCCTCATCCTAAACCTAATTCTAAACCTAACCCCTAAGCCTGAAATAGCCCTTTTACAAGTGAGGACCGGCAAAATGTCCTCACTTCTCTGAATTTTAGTTGGTTCCTATTCTTGTGAGGACTTCTGATACTCACAAGTACAGTATATTAAAACTTGTACACACACGCTCACACACTCTACTTTGACACAGACAAACCAACCGCAAAAGGTTCATCTCCTGTCTCTCCTTGTTGCAGGACCCAGATTCTAGAACAGTTCACAGAGTCTCTGAAGCAGTTGAAGGGTGTTCGTCAGCAGACTGTCCAGACTCATGTGACTGCCGCCCTCTGCAGTGTCCTAAAGGTAAACACTCAGAGCCTGAACTCTGACATATTGGTAGCCTTTGCCTTTGGATTACCAGCCTATATGATAGAATGTTTTATTTTTTTGTCTACAGACGTTGTCTATAGGCAGAATGATAATGCCATTTCTTTCACAAATTTCATCAATGATGCAACAAGTGCAATGTAAAATGTGCCATTGTGCAATTTCCTTTTTTTGGTTGATCAACTACGCGATGACAATGTGTGGATATCCCTGAAGTAGTTAACCCCACCCTCCTCTCTCTGTGTTCAGCACCTAGGCTCCAGTCGTGTAGGTCTGGGTCCAGAGGAGGTTCGGAAGCCAGCCCTGGGTCTGTTGGTGGGGGCTCTGGAGAGCTCAAACCCCCTGCTGCGCTGCATGGCTGCTGAGGGCCTGTCTCGCCTGGTACAGGTGGTCAACGACCCTGCATTCACCGTTTCCATGACCCTGGTCAGCTTCGACAAGTGAGTGGTCATCCCACAATCCCATACCACACACACACACCGCACTATAGGCTACGTACCTCTTGGCATGGGTGGTCAGCTCCCTCTCAGCCCAGTCCAAGCTCTTCTCTGTCCTGGCACCCCAATGGTGGAAGCAGCTTCCCCCTCAAGCTAGGACCGCAGAATCCCTGCCCAATTTCAGAAAACGTCTGAAACCCTACCTCTTCAAGGAGTATCTTAAATGAATCCCACGGCGCTGTGATGTGGTTGTCTCACCTAGCTATCTTAATAGGAATGCACTAATTGTCAGTCACTAAATTACTCAAATTAAAAATATTAATGTACTAGCACACAAACACCAGTCTCAGAAGATCAACCAGGATCAGTGATATTGCACAATGTCTTGCACTGTCTTCATTTAGGAGTCCATATTAGGGTGCATTCTAAGCTAATGTTGTGACATTTGTGTGTTGGTTGGACATCAGTTTATTAGTTGCACAGTGCGTTGGACCTCAGATTGATCCCATCTCACCCCCACCAGGTTGAAGACAGCCCGGGATGCTGTGACTCGTACGGGTCATGCCCTGGCGCTGGGTTCCCTGTACCGCTATGTAGGGGGCATCAGCTCCCCCCAGCACCTCTCTGCCTGTGTGGGCATCCTCTTCACCCTGTCCCAGGACAGCACCTCCCCCGAGGTCCAGGTACAGTAATGATTACCAATCAGATTGACTTCAGAGTTTGTTTGTATCGCCACCCACAAAACAGCTGTTTAAAAACGTGCCACAAGTATGAACGGACCCTCTGCATCACTTCCACAGCTCAAAAGCCGTTGAGAAGGTCTATAGGGAAACAGAAGTCTCTGTTGGCAACATGTAGAGTTGTCTCGACCAATAACTCTTGTTTCCTCTTTGTCTGTACCAGAGGTGGGCGCTGCACTCTCTGTCCATGGTGATGGACCTGGCTGGTCCTCTTTACCACGGCCATGTGGAGGCCAGCTTCACCCTGGTGCTGAGGCTGCTGCTCTCTATCCCCCCTACCCACGTAGAGGTCCACCAGAGCCTGGGGCGCTGCCTCAACGCCCTCCTCACCACCCTGGGACCTGACCTACAAGGTGACTCTACTCACCTCATAGTCAGACACTGAGTCACTGTAAAGTAGAAATCTGATACCAGAGAAAATACATTTGATTTCTTGGATTGGATTGCAAAATGTTACTTTTATTGTATCTATCAATAATGTTATTGCTGCACATAATGCATTATTTCACTCAATATCCAGCTCTCACCTTTTTTAGACTGTAGCACTGACACTACACAATGAGTGTGTCTAACCCTGGTATGCGTGTCTGATCCATTTTGTGCCCCCAGGCGAGGGCCAGTCTGTGTCGGCCCTGCGGACGTCGTGCCTGGTCGGCTGTGCGGTGATGCAGGACAGTCCAGACTGTCTAGTCCAGGCCCAGGCCATCTCCTGTCTGCAGCAGCTGCACATGTTCGCCCCGCGCCACGTCAACCTGGCTAGTCTGGTGCCCAGCCTCTGTGTGAGTAGTGGCCCAAGCTAATCCTAAACTGTGTCAAGTCAATGTCCTAGGTAGCTAATGCTAATGAGAAGCTGTTTCATAACTAGGTAGGTAATTAGCTAATGTCATTCCTGGCTAATGCTAAGCTATTGAGCTAATGATTCTATTAGTCTAAGGCAGCAATCACTCATGCACACACTCACTCCAACACAGCTCTCTGTCTGTCGGGATATGTAGCCTAGATGTTAATGATGTTGACCTGAGACATGGTTGTAGACTCGTATGAAAGGAGTCTTCAACCATGTCAGTTGGGGCAAATGACGTGATCAATTTTGTTTTAAAACTTGTTAAACCATGTAGTCCCAGTTTGTGTTTCTGTAGTGGCTTCCTCTGTAGTGACCGTGTGTATTCTCTCTCATACAGGAGATCTTGTTGGATTATTCTATGTTGGTAGGTTCTTTCCCCTGGCTGCAGGAGTTGCAGTGTGAAGTTGTATTTGCTGTTGGCACTGCTCCTACTTTCTTAGCAGTGTTTTCTTTGTCACCCTGTTGATTTTCACTTTGGTTGTCTTTTTCTTATCTTTTTGGTTCTCTTCTGTGAGTTTGAACTAACCCGATAAGGCATCCACAGCGAGCATGAGCCGATTCCCTCCCTCACAGCCCTCTACTCCATGGGTAGTGCCAAGGATTTGTTTTGCGTCAGTGGCTCTTTTCTCAAAGTCTTCCTTTCTTCACACTGGATGGCTATTCAGATCACTAGCGTAGGTCAAGGGGTAAAAACATTCCCCAACTAGCCTCTGTCAACTGCTTTTTGTTCTAATTATCGGAGTAGTGAGTTCTGCTATCAGTTCTGAGAAACGATGACCAAATGACCATACAAGCTGTAAAGACACAGGTCTAAATAACATAAACTTAAACAACATATAATGTAGTCATTGGCGCAAGTAAAACTATCCTTTACAGTTCCTCTGCCTTCCCACGCTCCTCTAGCCTGGTCCCAGATCTGTTTGTGCTGTCTTGCCAACTCAGGCGTGACAATGACCATAGGAGTTGGCAAGACGGCACAGCCAGATCTGGGACCAGGCGAATCCTCTGAAAAGGCTTCTGTTTGTTTGATATGACAGGATGATTAACAGCATCATGGCACCAGGGAGGACTAGTCAGTAGTCTCCACTCCCAGGGAGCTAATAACACTTCTTCTGTTTGTCGTCTGTTGGAATTCTCACACTGTTCTGTTTTCTGTTCCCCCCTGGTTTGATATATGATTTTCCAGTTAGCAGGCCAAATGATTTTGGATTCAGTTGTTGACACCCAAACTGTGAAAGTAATTGCTTGCTTTCAGCTGAAATATCCCTGATATTTTGGTTTTGCTTGCTGCTCACAGCAATTATTATTATTATTATCCGTTCCAGCATGATGTTTAGCTGAAAATGAATTGGGCCACCACTTATCTATGATAGTGTTTCTACTGGGATTTTGAACAGAGTAGTCACACTGTTAAGATGGATCGACTGGGCCCTGTAATGAAATGTGATCTTACTCGCTCTTAGTTCACTTCTGTCCTGGTATTAATTCAGTTATATTTCAACCAAAGTGCTAATCACTTATTGATTATGGGATTCTTCATGTACTATTATCACTTTAATACACAGACAGAATGGTCACCCTCTCTACCGGTGGTTAGTTTCTCTATGTAGTCCTCATATCCTGAGGTGTGTGTGTTGTCTGCGTGCGTATGTGCTTGGTGTGTGTAGGTGAACCTGTGCAGCTCGTACCTGTCTCTGCGTCGTGCTGTGGTGGCATGTCTGAGACAGCTGGCCCAGAAGGAAGCCCTGGAGGTGTCAGAGCACGCTGTGGCTCTGGTCAAGGAGCTGCCACGCAGGGACAACACACAGCTTGGTGAGACAAACACACACACTTTTAGACACACACACACACACACACACTGAGATACAAGCCGAGATGTCTGGTCACTCACCTTCACCAGCAAATCTATAATTTTCCTGTAATGCTCAGCATGTGCAAATGGACTTTGAATAATTAACATACATTAAGTAGTTTAATAAGCTGTAGAAAAGCCCCGTTGTGACCAGTGTCTCCTCTCCTCCACAGATGTGACCATTAAGGAGGTGGGCCTGGAGGGCGCTCTGTTTAGCCTGCTGGACCGGGAGTCAGACCCCTGTCTCTGTCAGGACATCCAGGAGACCCTGGTCCACATGATGAGTTCCATCGCCACGGGGAAACTGGCCCACTGGCTCAAACTCTGCAAAGACGTCCTGTCTGCCTCTGCAGGTGGGTGTGATGTCAAATGGAAGGCTTTAAACTTCAGTTTCAAGAGTGCGATCCTTCTCTTTTTCTGCTACCTGGTGGGGTGTTATACCCAACGAGGCAGATGTCATAAGGACTTTATTTGACACCAAATATTCTCCTTACTGACGCAATCTATTCCATGGATGTTGTTTAAGTTGATAGCTATACTACTTAACACCAGCTGTCTCTGTGGTTTGTTCTGTCAGAATCCACAGCCCCGGTAGAGACCAATCAGGAGGAGGATGGAGAGAGGGATGATGACGCGTCAGTCTTCCACGCCAAGTCAGAGTCCAGCGGGCCCTTTACCAACCTGCGCTGGTCCACGCGGGTTTTCGCTGTGGAGTGTGTGTGTCGCATCATCGCCCAGTGTGAGAACCACGGACATCCTGCCCACTTCGACATGGCCCTGGCCCAGGAGCACCGCCTGCATGAGTCCACCGGTGAGGGAAGCCATTTTGTGGGGAACGTCACTCCTACTGTATGAGCTGTTTTCAATAGTGTCCCTGCTCCGACAAAGGTCATTATAGACCGAAAGCTTAACAAATTAAAACTCTGCGCACGCTTATGTCAGATGGAATTTCAGTCCTTCTCCACCTGCTACTCTACCTAACAAAAACAATACATTGTTTAATCATTCATTTTATTATAACGACATCTTGTGGAGCGTCTAAATGCCATTTCCATGTGTAATTCAACGTCTGTTCACATATCATATATCCTACCCTCTTCCCTGCCAGACTTCCTGGTCCTTCACCTGGCTGACCTGATCCGCATGGCCTTCATGGCCTCCACTGACCACAGTGACAAGCTGAGGCTCTCTGGCCTACAGACTCTACTGGTCATCATCCGCCAGTTTGCTGCCATCCCAGAGCCTGAGTTCCCTGGCCACGTCATCCTGGAGCAGTATCAGGCTAACGTGAGTCTCTGTCATGTCTTCTACTACCACGGGTGGGGAATGAGCGTTCTAGGCTTATTCAAAGAGTCGTCTCTCTTTTCATGTGTAGGTGGGAGCTGCTCTAAGACCCGCCTTTACTGCAGACGCACCTCCTGATGTCACAGCCAAAGCCTGCCAGGTGTGGCCATCTATCTCTCTGTACTTTTAACTAATACTGATTTGAATATTGTCCTCTTATTTGAGCTATCACTGAAAATAGTCTTTCCACTGTGCTGCCTGACTGACAGGTGTGCAGTGCGTGGATCGCCAGTGGCGTGGTCAGTGATCTGAGGGATCTGAGGAGGGTGCACCAGCTCCTGGCCTCTTCGCTGGTCAAGGTCCAGGCAGGGAAGGAGGTGCCCAGTCCGCTCTACAACGAGGGAACGTCCACCATGGAGACACTGGCTGTGCTCAAGGCCTGGGCTGAGGTAAGTCATTGCTGGCTGATCCCAGCCTCCCATCCATCAACACTTGCATTAAAAGCCACATCCTCTAGTAGTTGAAGTCACTGTCATTACAGTACAGGTTTAGTCCCATGCTGTTTCTTTGGCACTTTCTATATCCTCCACTACGTCTATGTGGAACAGAGAAATTCATCCTAGACACATTACACATACAGATACTTTACTACTGACAGTTTGTTCATCCTGCCTGTGCTGATTGGTTGTCTGGCTATATCTATACTGCACATCTAATAATATTAACACTGTGTTTGTCTCCTCTCCCAGGTGTACATTGTGGCGGTGCAGAGCAGCAGTAGACAGAGAGAAAGCCCCGTCCCAGGGCCAGGCCCAGGGAGGCAGGGTGAGCAGGCTGGTTCCCCCCTGCTAGAGGAGGACTGTGGGGGGGCTGGAGGGGCAGGGCTGCTGACGCTGGTCCAGACTGACCTGGCTACGCTGAGCCGTCTGTGGCTGGCTGCCCTACAGGACTACGCTCTCCTCACCCTCCCCCAGGACTACTCAGCACAACTACCCGCTACAGGTGACTACAGGACATGTTCTAGATCTGGTGGGGTTGTATGTGTCACTCACTGGGAAGAGGGTGGATAATATAGGTAGATGCTCTGTAGTGATGGGAAGTTTGGATCTTTTTACTGACTCTGGTCTTTTCGACTCGTTCAGTCAAAAGAACAAATCTTTCGACTCATTTCGTTCATTTGAGTCAGTAATGCTCAGAGCACGCAAGACCCCCTACCGGCGAACGATGAACTGAAAACTCGAAATAGTCATGATTCTACAAGCCTCTTGTTCACAAGTCGTTCACCATAAGGGGCTTATTGGAGCTGTCATTTGTGACTGAGATTTGTAACAACATGCTTTAAACAATGTACATTTGTTGATTGCTAAGCATGCAAATAAGATTGTCTTGGTACATTTGAAACAAGGTCTAGTTGTGGCCGCAACCGGAGTAGATTGTGAACGACTCTTGGCGGAATGCATTGCTTGACTGCCGTGAGGGTGATTAGCACAATATCGTTTGAGAACTGCAGCACCCCAAATGGTTCGAGTTTGTTGAGCAGAGGCTGTGTATGTTTTGGTTCTACAAAGCTGTGTCCGTGACATTCAATAATCAATTAATTGCATTCATTCTTGCACCATGCAATCAATTATCAGTTCTACACACCTTTTATTCTCTCTGCTGCCTGCAGCTGGATCTATTTTGCCTGTGTGCGTATTAGAGGCCTTCGGACCGTTCCAAAATGGACCTGGGGCTTTCCCATCCGGACCCGATATGCATTCAAATTAAGAGACCACTGCACATTTTTCTCAAATCAGCATCTCTACATGTATGACAGCCATTCCATTCCAGTGTCTGTTGAATTCCAACACAGGCACACCTCATTCTACTGAATTAGGTACTGATTAGGTGGTCACCTGAACCAAATCTTATTTAACGAGGAAAAGTATAAAAACCACTGCTGTGGTCATCACTATCCTCTTGCAATAGGACCAGCTGGATGGCAAAAACAGTGCTAATAATACCTCAAAAGTAATGTTAATTTAAAAAATAACTATTGACCATGCCAAAAGAGTTGAAAAGGAACGTTTTGAGTGAGGAAAAGAAGGGTTCAATTCTGGCTTTACTGGCAGAGGGATACAGTGAGCGTCAGGTTGCTTCCATCCTTAAAATTTTAAAGACGGCGGTTCATAAGAACAAGGTCAAGCAGCAGACATTGGGGACAACAAAGCTACAGACCGGCAGAGGGTGAAAACAACACACTACTGACCGGGATGACCGCCAACTCATTTGAATGTCACTCAACAACCGTAGGATGACATCAAGTGACCGACAAAAAGAATGGCAAACGGCAGCTGGGGTGAAGTGCACGGCGAGTTCGAAACAGGCTCCTAGGGGCAGGGCTGAAGTCGTGCAAAGCTAGAAAAAAGCCCTTCATCAATGAGAAGCAAAGAAGAGCCAGGCTAAGGTTTGCAAAATACCATAAGGATTGGACTGTAGAGGACTGGAGTAAGGTCATCTTCTCTGATGAGTCCAATTTTCAGTTTTGCCCAACACCTGGTCGTCTAATGGTTAGACGGAGACCTGGAGAGGCCTACAAGCCACAGTGTCTCGCACCCACTGTGAAATTTGGTGGAGGATCGGTGATGATCTGGGGGTGCTTCAGCAAGGCTGGAATCGGGCAGATTTGTCTTTGTGAAGGACGCATGAATCAAGCCATGTACAAGGTTGTCCTGGAAGAAAACTTGCTTCCTTTTGCTCTGACATTGTTCCCCAACTCTGAGGATTGGTTTTTCCAGCAGGACAATGCGCCATGCCACACAGCCAGGTCAATCAAGGTGTGGATGGAGGACCACCAGATCAAGACCCTGTCATGGCCAGCCCAATCTCCAGACCTGAACCCCATTGAAAACTTCTGGAATGTGATCAAGAGGAATATGGATGGTCACAAGCCATCAAACAAAGCCAAGCTGCTTTAATTTTTGTGCAAGGAGTGGCATAAAGTCACCCAACACCAATGTGAAAGACTGGTGGAGAGCATGCCAAGACGCATGAAAGCTGTGATTGAAAATCAGGGTTAATCCACCAAATATTGATTTCTGAACTGTTCTTAAGTTAAAACATTAGTATTGTGTTGTTTAAAAATGAACATGAACTTATTTTCTTTGCATTATTCGAGGTCTGACAACACTGCATATTTTTTGTTATTTTGACCAGTTGTCATTTTCTGCAAATAAATGCTCTAAATGACAATATTGTTATTTGGAATTTGGGAGAAATGTTGTCAGTAGTTTATAGAATAAAACAAAAATGTTATTTTTACCCAAACACTTAACTATAAATAGTAAAACCAGAGAAACTGATAATTTTTCAGTGGTCTCTTACTTTTTTCCAGAGCTGTGTATATGTATGTATATATATATATATATATATATATATATATATATATATATATATATATATATATATATATATATATATATATATATATATATATATTTATTGAGACCTGTGCCGAATGGACCCGAGGACAACTAGACCCGTTCCGTATAGACCTGGCCCGATCCGAGTGAGGGAAGCAGCAGAAAAGTCCATTTTTAAGATACTTTACTAACCGGAGCTGATAAAGCGTGAGGTAGAGGAGGTAAAGCAAGGTGGCGCTCTAGCAGGGGCCGTGCTGTGTGACTGTAGCCTATTGCCGCTTTGATTACTTATGAGCAGCGGCCTCTCGTGAAAAGCAAAGAGCAGCGGCATAAATTATACCATTTCTCTCTCTCTCTACTGCAGCAGTCGCGTTCGGATCTATATGGGTCCTTCCGAACAAGTCAGTTAAAATAACACATACCTGAGACCCGTGACAATCATATCAGATCCGACCCAGTCCCGTGACATTATTTAGAATTATGGTTCCTGACCCACTCGGGTCCCGTCTCGGGTATTTGGGTACAGGTGGATCCGTGAAGACCTCTAGAGACAGACAGTTGTTGGTCACAGCACATCACCGGAAGAGCGTGTATTAATCCTGCTGTAGAATTAATTGCGGCCAACAGGTCAAACAAACGACTAAAATGAACGAGTCACTCTAAAAAACGAGTCATGACACTCAAGTCAGTAAAAAGAGTAGTTCAAAAAGAATAAATCATTTGCAAACTGCACATCACTAATACTCTGGGTTATTAATTGATGTGTGCACTGTAGTTAACCAATGTATCGTTGATGGGAAATTGCATTGATCTAACCTGTGTGTGTGTGTGTGTGTGTGTGGTTCAGGAGGGACGTTCTACACAGCAGAGACAGCGGAGCAGGCCAGACCCCACTACTTCAGCTCCTGGGCTCCCATCCTACATGCCACGGCCCTGTGGCTCAACAGCACTGGTTTCATCATGGTGGACGACGGCCCTGCCAACCTGTCCCGGCCCGTCACCCCCACCTCCATGGGCCAGTCCACCTCCATGGCCTCCGTCAAATCCCCTGAGGACATCAGCTCTGACCGACTCCACCTCATCCTGGGTGAGAAGTAATGGACCTATCAATGCCCATGGCTTCTCTACTTACTGCCTATGTTGGTTATGGTATTTCTGTTTGGGGTTACTTTACTATGAATATCCTTCTTACAAAAAATAAGCTTTTGAAGCAGATTGTCTTTGTAGTTGGAGATATTGGCAAGGGGCTGTGTTTTGATGCGTTGTGTTATCCCTGTCTGTAGGCATCAGTGTGGAGTTCCTGTGCTCTCCTCACTCCCATGACCAGATGGAGAACATCTCCTCCTGCCTCCAGGCCCTGCAGGCCTTGCTAGAAGTCTCCTGGCCCCGGTCAAAAGTCGGCAATGACCAGGTGTTGAGTGTGGAACTGCTGAGCGTGCTCCACAGGCTGATAGTGACGCGGGAGGCCCCAGGGGTGCAGCTGGCTGTGCTGGAACTGGTTAGACAGGTGGTGTGTGCTGCCCAGGAGCACGTCAAGGAGAAACGCCACAGTGCTGAGGGTGAGTGTGGAGCAGGAACACTTGCCTCGTATGTGTGATCTATCAATGAAGTAACAGCAATTTATAAAAGTTATATCTCTGCCTGTGGCCCTTAGTTGTTGACGGGGAGCATTACCAACTTTAGCACATGTATTCTACCACTGCAAGATATTTTGTTGAAACATGTCTCTCTCTCTCAGTGGATGACGGGGCAGCGGAGAAGGAGACGGTTCCTGAGTTTGGGGAGGGCCGGGACACCGGCGGCCTGGTTCCGGGCAGGTCTCTAGTGTTCGGGGCCCTGGAGCTGTGCCTGTGTGTGCTGGTGCGTAAACTGCCCCAGCTCAGCCCCAAGCTGGCCGGCAGCCCCAGTGGGGGCCAGGGAGGCTCCGCCTGGAGTCTGAGTGACAGTGACTGCAGACTGGTGGCGGCTGCTCTGGCCATCCTGTCTGACCTGCCATCCATCTGCTCTCCTGACGGTAAGCCAAACTGGGCCTGATAATCAGGGCTCAATTCCGTCTCAATTCAACCAAGTCAGGAAGTAAACAGACATTCCAATTTCAATCCCAATAGGGGAAATGGAATAGGAATTTCAGTTAACGTCCTAAATTAAAATATAATTGACCCCAGCACTGCTGCTGCTACTCTGTTAATTATTTATGCATAGTCACTTTAACTCTACCCACATGTACATATTACTTCAACTATCTCAACTAGCCGGTGCCCCCGCACATTGACTCTGCACCGGTACCCCCCTGTATATATAGCCTCCCTACTGTTATTTTATTTTACTTCTGCTCTTTTTTTCTCAACACTTTTTTTGTTGTTGTTTTATTTTTAATTTTTTTTTAAAATAATAAATGCACTGTTGGTTAAGGGCTGTAAGTAAGCATTTCACTGTAATGTCTGCACCTGTTGTATTCGGCGCATGTGACCAATAAAATTTGATTTGATTTGCTAACTGCCAACAGCACAAAGAGTAGGTCAAGATCGTGAGTAATCGCTAATTGATTCATTGAGAATGATTGATTGTTATTTGATCAGTGGTGGTCAAAACATGACTCACAAATTGAAGAATACTCATTTGCAAATGAATGCGTTAAAGCCCTTTTTTTTTAAATCAACTTGATCTTGTTTAAAGGATGATCACTCAGATGATAGGCTGATTCAAACATTCCTCACTGCTTGTATTTTCTATGGTGCTGTGGTTAACCTGTGGTTAATGGTTACCCTCTCTCTTCTCCCCCCATAGGTAGTGTCTCCATCCTGCCTACAGTATTGTACCTGTTGATGGGGGTGCTGAGGGAGTTGGTCCAGCAGCCCTATGGTGGTGGGGGTAGCAGTGGGGGTGTTGGGGCTCTGGGCCTGGTGGTGCCTGCAGCCCTGCAGGCCCTGAGAGCTGTGCTCTCCTCGCCTATGAGTCGCTCAGAGAAGAGCCGCGGGGCCTGGGCCCACCTGCTGCGCTGTGCCCTCAACACCCTGCTGGACTTCTGGGATTCCGGTACGGAGTCAGGGACGGGACGGGGGGCCACTTCACATAGAAAACATAATCACACGCACACAGTCAGTTAAGACACAGGAGGCCACTTCATTCAGAAACCAGCCTACAGAAAATGTCATGGCCTTTTGGTTTGAAAGTCTACACATACGCAATCAGATTTTAAGTTCCTCAATTGCATTCCAAGTTTAGCCTTGGGTTTAGAAATCAAAATGCGGTTTAGAATGCACAATTCAATTAGAAGTGAAATAAGATTCTAACTGGATGTATGATTCTCTTTGTGTTTCCGGTCTCTGTTGACAGATAAGCCCAACCTTGCGGTGGATGAGGTCAGTCTGTTGACAGCTCTCACCATCTTCCTGCTGACTGCCAGTCCTGAGGTCACCACAGCCCAGACATTGCAGACACGCTGCATAGACAAGTTTAAAGCCAGCCTGGAGTCTAAGGACCCTGTGGTAAGTTAGCACTAAGTAGTTCAGACGTAATACAAAACTGAGGCAAAAAGCACCTTTTTAGGACTCCTTGGTGACACACTTTGTCTTATGATGACTAAAAGTATTTTAAATATTCAACTTTTCAAGTTACTGTTCAAAGTTCCTCAGTATTACATTCTCTTCAAGCATTCAATGTAGAGGTTCTTCCCAATAATTAGCATATGTAAAGGCTGACTCTACACCACCTCTCTACGCTTCCTCAGGTGCTCAGCAGGAGTTACCAGCTGCTGATGTCGGTGTTCCAGAGCCAGACAGGGGTGGCGGTGCCCTTCATCCAGGCCCTGGGGAGCTGTGTGGTGGGACACCTGCAGGGGGTGGAGAGGAGGAGACCCCAGAGCTCCAAAGAGCTCCAGGCCATCCAGGATGGAGTCAGGGCCCTAGAGGCTCTGGTGTTCGCTGCCGATGAGATGCACCGTGAGTAAGCTAGGTCATTCGAGTGGTCAAGATTATTAGTCATCTTTTTCTAGATAGACCATGACTATAAAATCTGGATTGGGTTGATATTTTCCTTTTTAATTTTTCTGTCTCTTATGTCCCATGATGATGTGTAATAAGGTCTTACTCTGGTTGTGTTTTGACCTTTGACCTCCAGGTCCCCAGCTGGTGGCCATTCTCCTTCCCATCCTCATCTCCTTTCTACTGGATGAGAATGCCCTGTCCTCTGCCCCCGCGCCCGCCCGCACCCTGCATGAGTCAGCCCTGCAGGACCTGATGCGCATCGGCCCCCAGCACTCGTCCGTCTTCAAGGCCCTCATGGCCTCTTCACCCCACATGAAAGCCAGGCTGGAGGCTGCTGTAAAGGGCAACCAGGAGAGTGTCAACGCCAAGGCCACACAACTTCAAGTACCGAGCAAGACCTCGCCCAGCATTCAACTCAAGACCAGTTTTCTGTGAGCCTTTATATACTGAAATGAATGCTTAGTTATCGTGAGCGGACAAGAAACAGAAACACGTTATATTATAGTGCATACTGTCACTTTATCATAGTAGCATACTTACCGCATTAAGATTTTAATAATCACTAGGCACAGATCAAGGACAGTGCAGTATTTCATCATTTTAGTTTGGCAGGCAGTCAAAATAAGTTTTGGACATTAAGTTTAATTTCATGGTACAATAGGTGTTCATTTTAACTGTTTAACCTCTATGAGGGAATGACGACAGAGTAAAGACAATGTCATCATCGGACACAGGTTCCTAACCAGGGAGCTCAAATGCTGCTGGTAGGTCTACAGAAAGCAAAGGTCTGGGGTTGGAGTCTATCCCATCTGGGGTCTATTCATTAGTGCAAAGTGTAGCAAAACGTTTTGCAACAGAAAACAAAAACAAGTCTTTCTTAAGGACAAATTCAGGTAGGTCCCTCTACGTTTCGGCCCATTTTCTCCCTAGTGAATACACCCCTGTTCAATCAGTGAGGGAAACATTAGTTCACTTCTAACCATATAATTTGTATTCACATCTAAACTTTGCGTGGCATCCACATGCTTGGATGTCTACATTATTAGTTTTGTGTTAGATTACATATCATTTGAATGGCTGTCATCATATTAAGTAGAGAGGCTATATATATATATATTCTGCAACGCAAGCTGAAAGAGATGCAACATACATACACATTTACTGTCAATGGAAGAGTGTTGATGGAAAATAAAACTCTACATTAACTTCATTCTCCAACACAACTTAGGTTTGAATTGCCATAGCAATAATGGCAATATACAGGAAAAGCAATGTAAACTACCATGTACTGAAAAGTATTGGTTGTTTTTTTAAGACCAATCCAACTGTCTACAGAGCAGTGTCCACAGAACAATAAAATCACTGCACTGGTGTTCTTGAAATGGCATTGCACTTAACATACTGTTTGTTGTAGCTACATGTCCAGCCAGCAATCAAAACGTTATGAAGTTAACATTATAATGGTCATAATCTTAGTACTGTATTATGGTCACTGAGTACATTAAAAAGGGCTGCGTAGGGATCCCGTTAGCAAGCAGTCAGTTAGCAGCATTACTTTATCTTTACTAGCATAATCCTCTGTTTTTAATCGATGTTCATGTTAAGTTACCATACAAAAGTATCCTGGATGGCTGAGTGTGGAAGAATGTATGTAAAACCATTTCTGGTTTAAAGGTACACTGATCAGAATGGTGGTTTATGAAATGGATGCAAGTGTCAATATCAATTAAATGCAATGAAAAGAGGATGATGGTTCAGAAAGTTAACGGTACAAATGAAAGCGTTTCTGCAATAACAAATACATCTGGTACAGAGGACGTTGTCCTGCTTTCAGCTTGGCTTTTGCTCAGGCTGTTTGGCACTTTCATACTGTAGCTGTGAGGATACTGTAAAATACTAGTCTGTATGTAATGTAACCTGGCCATTTTATTTTGTAAACTGTACAAATGAAAATATTGGTTGCAATAAACACATCATTTTCTAATGGCAGTGGGTGAATAACGCCTACATTTCCTTTAATCATTGCTTAATTTGTCAATAACATGAGGTATGACACCATATGGTGAATAATGCCTACATTTCCTTTAATCATTGCTTAATTTGTCAATAACACGAGGTATGACACCATATGCATGTATTTTGCATTTTATGTTTGACTGACTGCAAAATTCATGAATGATACCAATTTGAGTATGCCCAAAGAAGATAGCTACCCTAGAATGTTGGGGGGCCACTGTGGGGTCCATCGTTTACATAAAGTAATTGTGGGAATGGGGGCTCTGTTTTTCAACGTATTGTAGCGCCCCCTGGCATACTGTGAATGGAGTATACACTAGGACGCTTCGTAGCCTCGTGATACATACGACGGAGAGCCAACTGTGTTGACGCAACGGCTCTCCATTTCGCTCGGATGTGTGTATTGCATTACCGTCCACTTTGACCTTAATGTCTCGGTAAAAATTCCTGGGATTTAAGCTGTTTTTTCTTAGGTTAGCTTGTTCCTCTACATACTATTTTGTTTGATTGACCGTCACTTTCTTCTCTTTATCTGCTGAAAGACGGTGAGTGATTATCTGCTATGTTGGTGCTGTAAACCGAGCGACCCAATATTTCCTATGTGTTGTGACTGACGGAAGTGTTGCGGCCTTGGGCTCTCCTGGAACTGAAGCCTCGCGGATTATGTGTTCATGGTCAGGCCATGTATTATAACATTGTAGCTATTATTACGACCATGGTTTGAACTCAATGGTATTTTCCAATCCTCAAAATATGCATGTTAGCTAGTAAATATTTTAACTAGTAATTTCATTGTTTAATTATAGACAACTAGCTAGCGATACACCCAGTTAGCTAATCTGAATAGCGTTCGGAGTTAACTGTTAGATAACGTTAGTAACACAGTGACTAACGTTAGCTTGTTGTTGGCTAAAACTGATATGCAGAGATCAACCAAGAATAACACACAATGATGTTGCCTGTTGGCGTCCTTCAATACAGTCGGCTATGCTTGGATATCCCCCCCCCCCCACACACACACATTTAGCTTGAAGTAGCGAACTATTATTTAATTCATTAGAATTTACTGATTTACTGGCAAAAGCCTTTTAACCGGTTACCAGTTACTTGCTAACTAACTTAACATCACAATCCATAGCTAGCTAGTTAGCTTAGCTAAATATAGCCAAAAGTGAACTACAGTAACTAGCTAACTAATGTTAACGTAACTATCTAACTACAGCACTAAAATACTGTTTATGGAAGAACAACATCAGATAATAATGTACATAGCTAGTCAACGGTATGTGTCTTCGTGGACAGATGGCTATGCTGAACGAGCTGGGCTAGCTAACTAGTTAGTAATGTTAACTAGCTAACGTTAGGCCTTATCTAGAGCTAGCAGCTGGTAACTTGTTTGTTAGCTAGCTATGCAGTTTGGCTTGTTTGTAGCTACAGTACGATTTTTATACTGCCACTTTTTAGTTAGCTAGGTTGTCTGTCACAACTGCAACGTCAGTAGTTACCTTAGCTTGCTACTGTTCGCTTGTAAATCAGCTAACTTAGTCATGTAGCTAACTTTAGCTGGCCTGCAGTGGCAATAAAAATGAACCAAGTCATGATCTAGCTAGATAGATAGGCCTATTTAAAGAACTGCTGACTTGAACATATTTGCTGTCCTTTATGGTGATGTTGGTAACAATGGATTTGTGACATGATTTCTGACATTAGGTACTTGAATAATGATAATCATGTCACTTTAGTGAAGAGATGGTCTACACGTAGGCTTAATTAGTGTGTCTATTGTCAGACTGTAAATAATGAAAGATGGATAAAGTCTTTCTGTTTGTAGCTCAAAGGAAATGGAACCTAGGCCTAAATCCTACACGAGCTCAAGACAACCTCTTGGGTTGCTAGAGTCATAGAAATCTCTCTGTCAATTTGTGATTAATCTGTTGATAAAATGATTTGCCCCATGCCTGTTTAGCCTGTAGCCATCCAGGCTTTAACAAAGGAGACGGTTCTGCTGTTTTAAATAAGTCCTAATCAATGTAGTCCACCCCCCCCCCCCCCCCCCCAATCTCAGTATTGTGTGGAGATGGGACCTCCAGTCTACATACAGTACCTGGAGAACAGGTTTTGTACACCACTTATTTTCTTGAGAGGAAAGGTCACGGTTGTTGTTGTCTAGTTCTTTATACCAATTACCATGTTTCAGCTGTTACACCTAAACTAGCTACAAACCTTTGTTGTCCTGACTTGCCCAACATAATCCCATTGGCAACTGTAAATTGAGCCAGCCATGATTAAACTAAATGCCAGCTTTCTCTACCTCTCTCTCTTTCTACCTTCTCTCCCCACTCTCCCTCCCATCCCTCCCTCCCATCCCATACCTCCCTCTGTCTCCTTTCCTCCACCAGGTGAAGGAGGACTTCATGACACACAGGAGGGAGCAGTGATTGGACCTATCAGTGTTTTCTCCATCCGGCGGATGAGTCCCCAGCTCAGCCCACAGCAGTGATTGGGCTAGGTGCCAGATAGGGAGCTGTAGCAGGGGGGTGATCATGGCGGACGTGGACCCAGACACCTTGCTGGAGTGGCTCCAGATGGGCCAGGGAGATGAGAGGGACATGCAGCTGATCGCACTGGAGCAGCTCTGCATGCTGCTGCTCATGTCTGACAATGTGGACCGCTGCTTCGAGACGTGAGTCACAGACACACACAGTCAACTGTTGAGCTCACAAATGTCAACTGTTGGGCTCACAAGCATCTCTCAAACAAGTATCCCAAGCTGTTGTCATACTGTTGAGGACAATGCCGTGCTTATACAAACTGTGTATAGTGACAAAACAACAACTCCTCCTTTTATGTGATTACTGAGTCATGCACAGCTGCTTGTTTACATGTCATACAAGAGGTACATAAGAGGTCTTCTAACTGGTGGTCCTCTGTAGCTCAGCTGGTAGAGCACGGCGCTTGTAACGCCAAGGTAGTGGGTTCGATCCCCGGGACCACCCATACACAAAAAAATGTATGCACGCATGACTGTAAGTCGCTTTGGATAAAAGCGTCTGCTAAATGGCATATTATTATTTATTATTATTATTATTATTATTATTATAACTGCATTCTAATGGGATCAATAAAAGTTAAATAAAAAAAAATGTCCTCTGTCCTCTTCTCCCAGGTGTCCCCCACGCACCTTCCTCCCAGCCCTGTGTAAGATCTTCCTGGACGAGAGCGCCCCGGACAACGTGCTGGAGGTGACGGCCCGCGCCATCACATACTACCTGGACGTGTCGGCTGAGTGCACCCGCAGGATCGTTGGCGTGGACGGGGCTATCAAGGCACTGTGTAACCGCCTGGTGGTGGTGGAGCTCAACAATAGGACCAGCAGAGACCTGGCAGAGCAGTGTGTCAAGGTATGCTTTTTTATTACGGAAATGCTCCTGACGAAGACCCAATTAGGGAACATTATACCAGTATGGAGATCTAGTTTATGGTTCTACATTATTCAATTATGCGTCTTGCCTTTTTCATTTGTCATGTGATCGACTGGTGGCTTCAAGCTCCCTTTCACTGTTTACACGAGAACGTTCTTTCCCTTTTACCTGAGACGTTTTTATTCAAATCTGATGATGCAAATGAAGTCTTGAATATTTCTGTAGTGTACACAACAAGTATATCTGGTTGAGGAAGGGCTTATGTTTGTTGTAGAATAATAGAGAACATGCTCACTCTCAAAAGTAGTCGGGTGCTGAATCCTCAAAAGTAGTCGGGTGCTGTGTACAGTCCAAAGTGAAAGAGATTGTCCGCACACCATAAATAATCAATAATGAATATATTATTTTGTTGACTGAACTTGTGTTTCTGGTGTCATTTGCCAGGTGCTGGAGCTGATCTGTACCAGGGAGTCTGGAGCAGTGTTTGAGGCTGGGGGTCTGAACTGTGTGCTTAGCTTCATCCGGGACAGCGGTCATCTGGTCCATAAGGACACCCTGCACTCTGCCATGGCTGTGGTGTCTCGCCTGTGCAGCAAGATGGAGCCCCAGGACTCCTCTCTGGAGACCTGCGTGGAGTCCCTCTCCAGCCTGCTCAAACACGAGGACCACCAGGTGAATAGGACACCCACTCAAGAGTCATCGGTATGGGTGGGGTCATCCATACACATTGGTGGTGGATGGATGATGTTTCCCTTTATGTAAATGTTTTGAGGTTCTGGAAAAGTAGTATATAAATCGACTCAATTATCATCGGAAAGAAGCTTGAAGGTCTGGTTGCAAATGATTGCATCGTTATTGATTTAAAATGCAACCCATTGATCCACAGGTGTCTGACGGTGCTCTGCGCTGCTTTGCCTCTCTGGCGGACCGCTTCACCCGTCGAGGGGTGGACCCGGCGCCTCTGGCCAAGCATGGGCTGACAGAGGAGCTGCTGTCCCGGATGGCTGCCGCAGGAGGCACGGTCTCCGGCCCCTCCTCCACCAGTAAGCCAGGCCGGACCTCCACTGGGGCCCAACCCACCGTTGCTGATTCCAAACTCAGCAACCAGGTGTCCACCATCGTCAGCCTGCTGTCCACGCTGTGCAGAGGTTCTCCCCTCGTCACCCATGTAAGGACATTTTACATTTGGTCTTGTGTTTTTTAATACAAAGTTACAAAATAAATTGGGACAATATACCCTTTCTGAAATGTAATCTTCAAGGACCAGCCCATATTTCAAAGGCACTACACACTGAGAGGAGTTTTATTAGATCGCTTTTTTAAAAGAGTCTTTAGCCTTCTTGACAAATTATTGCAGTTTGATTTGCTGCCAAAGTGGTAGGTGTATTTGGTGTTATGAGCCCTCTGGGACACATTTCTGTATTAGTAAGGAGTAATAATTTATTACAAAACAATTTTATTGGCACAGAATATTAATGTATGAACCGTAATATCTTAAAAGCTAACGGTAATTACAAAAAAAACTCGGAAAGGATCCAGTTTCAGAATATTTCAGTGAAGAGCGCTGTATTATAATGAGAGCTATGAGGAAGTGAGAATGACTAGCGTAATATAATAATGGATTGGGATAATAAGTGTTTTTGTTTTGTCTCCTCCCTCTGTGTGTGTGTGTGTGTGTGTGTGTGCGCCTGTGTGTTTCCTGTGTGTGTGTACAGGATCTTCTGCGCTCTGCGCTGCCTGACTCCATGGAGAGTGCCCTGCAGGGGGATGAACGCTGTGTCCTGGACACCATGCGTCTGGTGGACCTGCTGCTGGTGCTGCTGTTTGAGGGCCGCAAGGCTCTGCCCAAATCCACCGCTGGATCCACAGGACGCATCCCGGGCCTGCGACGGCTGGACAGCTCCGGGGAGCGCTCCCACCGACAGCTCATCGACTGTATCCGCAGCAAAGACACAGACGCACTCATCGACGCAATCGACACCGGAGGTGGGTGGATATAGAGTCAAAAGTAATGCACTATAAAGAGAATAGGGTACCATTTGGGAAGCCGGCATATCCTATGTTTTATTCCTTTTCCTCCTTTTCTTAATAACTAAGATGTAAATATTGTGTTGTTTATTGTTCCTGGAGGATGTTGCCGTAGTGATAACCAAAAGAGACCTTTGTTATTAACGCCATGTGGTGTTTCTGTCTGGAGGTTGTGGCAGAGGACGCTTGTCCAAACTGGTGTAATGGTGCCCTTTTTCCTCATTCATTTCAGCCTTTTGTTTGCATAATGTTAAATGTATCATGTTTATGATAGAGTGCACGCTTAGTCAATTCCCCAAAATGATTCCTGTTGCAGCTTTTGAAGTGAATTTCATGGATGACGTCGGGCAGACTCTTTTGAACTGGGCCTCTGCGTTTGGCACGCAGGAAATGGTAAGATGTTAGCTATTATTTTTTAGACTTGAGTCTCGTATCCCTCCATCTCTTTACAGGGCAATTGTAATAGTTTACCCGTGTACATTATGGTGGCCATTATGCATTGGAGCAGAACAGAATGGCTCATTGTGCCAGGGAAATTAAGGATAGCATCTCCTCCCTGTTGAGCTGCAAGAGCAAGGCTGTTCACAACCAGGAAGTGCTCAAGGCTCTGCCAATAGGTGTCCATAGCAACAAACAGCAGCACAAACATGAATGAATGCTGTGTATGCATAATCTGGCTTAATGCAGCCTGATTACTAGGGTTTGGTTTAATAATGCCTTGTTTGTCACCTCGAAACCAGACCACAACACAGATCCATCACATCTTACACAACACCTTGTATTCATTAGGCTCCAAACAGAAGAACACAGACTAAAACAAGGAAGGACTATCTGGACTATTTTAATATGAAACATACATTGCTGTTCCAAAACGTTTTTAATGTGTTCCTTTGCCTGGACCATGTTGAATAACCCCTGTTTGTTGTGGTTGGTGTCCCAGGTTGAGTTCCTGTGTGAGAGAGGTGCTGATGTCAACAGAGGTCAGAGGTCCTCCTCCCTCCATTACGCTGCCTGTTTCGGACGGCCTCAAGTAGCAAAGGTAGATATGCTGTCTTTAACCCTCATAGGAAATATCTTCTGATGCTCTGTTTTTGACCAACATCCCTTGACAAAAGCCTAGCAACCGGAATGCTGGGCGCTGGTTTATATTGATTTCAATTAATGTAAAGACACTACATTGCCAAAAGTATGTGGACACCTGCTCGTCGAACATCTCATTCCAAAATCATGGGCATTAATATGGAGTTGGTCCCCCTTTGCTGCTATAACAGCCTCCACTCTTCTGGGAAGGCATCCACTAGATGTTGGAACAGTGCTGCGTGGACTTGCTTACATTCAGCCATGAGGATTATTGAGGTCGGGCGCTGATGTTGGGCGATTAGGCCTGGCTCGCAGTCAAATTCATCCCAAAGGTGTTCAATGGGGTTGAGGTCAGGGCTCTGTGCAGGCCAGTCAAGTTCTTCCACACTGATCTTGATAAACAATTTCTGTAATGACCTTTCTTTGTGCACGGGGGCATTGTCATGCTGGAACAGGAAAGAGCCTTCCCCAAACTATTGCCACAAAGTTGGAAGCAGAGAATCATCTAGAATGTAATTGTATGCTGTAGCGTTAAGATTTAACTTCACTGGAACTAAGGGGCCTAGCCCGAACCATGAAAAACACCCCCAGACCATTATTCCTCCTCCACCAAACTTTTCAGTTGGCACTATGCATTGGGGCAGGTAGCGTTCTCCTGACATCCGCCAAACCCAGATTCGTCCGTCGGACCGCCAGACGCATGATTCATCACTCCAGAGAACGCGTTTCCACTGCTCCAGAGTCCAATGGCGGTGAGCTTTACACCACTCCAGCCGACGCTTGGCATTGTGCATGGTGATCTTAGGCTTGTGTGTGGCTGCTCGGCCATGGAAACCCATTTCATGAAGCTCCCGACGAACAGTTCTTGAGCTGACGTTGCTTCCAGAGGCAGTTTGGAACTCCGTAGTGAGTGTTGCAACCGAGGACAGATGATTTTTACGAGCTACACGCTTCAGCACACACCGGTCCCGTTCTGTGAGCTTGTGTGGCCTACCACTTCACGGCTGAGCCGTTGTTGCTCCTAGACGTTTCCACTTCACAATAACAGCACTTACAGTTGACCAGGGCAGCTCTAGCAGGGTAGAAATTTGACAAACTGACTTGTTGGAAAGGTGGCATCCTATGACGGTGCCACGTTGAACGTCACTGAGCTCTTCAGTAAGGCCATTCTACTGCCAATGTTTGTCTATGGTGATTGCATGGCTGTGTGCTCGATTTTATACACCTGTCAGCAACAGGTGTGGCTGAAATAGCCGAATCCACTAATTTGAAGGGGTGTCCACATACTTTTGTATATAGTGTACAGGTAGACTCTATGTATGTTCCCTTAGTAAGCATCATTGTCTGTGTCTTTAGACTCTACTGCGACATGGAGCCAACCCTGACCTCCGAGATGAAGATGGGAAAACTCCCCTGGATAAAGCCAGGGAGCGTGGCCACAGTGAGGTTGTAGCCATCCTCCAGTCTCCTGGTGAGTTATAATATATGAACATAATCACACCTTCCGATGATTGTCGGATTTAGATTTGATTTGGGAGTTGATTGGTTGACGTTTATTATTGTCCTTGAGGAGGAAATGATTTCGAAGTTACATATACATATAGAAACAGCAACGAGCAAACAACAAACGGACATAACAGCTGGTTTGCCGACTGCCAGAAAAAAACCTTGGTTACGAGTGACCAACAGTGGTTATGTGACAACCTGTTCTGTTCTGTAGGAGACTGGATGTGCCCCGTTAACAAAGGAGAGGACAAGAAGAAGAAGGATGTGAACAAGGAGGAGGAGGGAGGCAGCGAACCCAAAGGAGACCCTGAGATGGCCCCCATCTACCTGAAGAGGCTGCTACCAGTATTTGCACAAACCTTTCAGCAAACCATGCTACCTTCTATTAGGTGACTTGGATAATCATTTGACCAATCGACCCAAGGTCCATATAAATGTGCTGTAACTGTAACGTTACCAGTATGTTCTATGCAACATAAAATCAATAAGATGTTACCAATGACTAGGAAGATTGACTCAAACACATTGATACTTATCCCTCCCACCCACACAAGACAGCATTCTCTTGTTACTGTATGATTTGGTTACCTCTGGGGTAGTCTAAACTCATAGATGTATATACAACTATTTATGACTAAGTGCCTGAATGTATCAATTGTTTCAATAGGGACATATGCAAATACATTGACACAACCCCATTAACACATGTCCCCCCCCCCCCCCCCCCACAGGAAAGCCAGCCTGGCGCTGATCAGGAAGATGATCCACTACAGCTGTGAAGTGCTGCTGAAGGAGGTGTGTGACTCTGACGCCGGCCACAACCTGCCCACCGTGCTAGTGGAGATCACGGCCACCGTGCTGGATCAGGAGGTACAGCAATACACAACATCCATCCCTTTTGTGTGTGTGACCCACCACAGTTAACAACGCTGTCCACCACTGACCGGATGCCTGTTAATCTCTCTAGCTGCACCAGGTTTCATCCACAGTGTTTGTGTCTGGAGGCTAAGTTAACTGTGGTGTGTCGATCTCTTCCACCACAGGATGATGATGACGGTCACCTGCTGGCCCTGCAGATCATCAGAGACCTGGTGGACAAGGGAGGAGACGTCTTCCTGGACCAGCTGGCTAGACTGGGAGTCATCAACAAGGTGTCCACTCTGGCTGGACCCACCTCAGACGACGAGAACGAGGAGGTGTCCAAACCAGAGAAGGTGAGATGAGACCACCACATTGCAGTCAGACCAAAGATGCACTGATGGAGCTTTGTGATATCTGTGTGTAATGAAAAGCGCTCTACAAATGTATTATTATATGATGCATTATTCAAATCTATTATATCTGGGTAAGTGTCTGCTACATTACTAAAATGTAAATGTATGTCTCTTCTTGTCCCGCCAGGAGGACGAGCCCCAGGAGGAAGCCAAAGAGGTGCAGCAGGGGAAGCCCTACCACTGGCGTGACTGGTCCGTCATCAGGGGGAGGGACTGCCTGTATATCTGGAGTGACGCTGCAGCCCTGGAGCTTTCCAACGGCTCCAACGGCTGGTTCCGCTTCATCCTGGACGGCAAGCTGGCCACCATGTACTCCAGCGGAAGCCCAGAGGGAGGCTCTGACAGCTCAGGTAGACCTAGCTACATACCTGGACTGTTATGACTTGAACTTCCCCCAACTAGTTACTTATTCCTCTTCATCTCCTTTGGGACATAAGGGCCAGGATGATCTCCCTCCACTTATGTACATGCAGTTATAAATAAATGAATAACAGTATTTTAATGGTGATTTCGCAACCAACGTCGAACTGTTCCAATTCGTCTAATGTACTAACGACAACGTCATCATATCCTTGTTTTCCCACCCAGAGAGTCGTAGTGAGTTTCTGGAGAAGCTGCAGCGTGCCCGGAGCCAGGTGAAGCCTGTGACAGCCAGCCAGCCCATCCTGTCTGCCCTGGGTCCCACCAAGCTTACGGTGGGGAACTGGTCCCTGACCTGCCTGAAGGAGGGAGAGATCGCCATCCACAACTCTGACGGACAGCAGGCCACCATCCTCAAGGAGGACCTGCCCGGCTTTGTGTTCGAGTCCAATAGGGGCACCAAGCATTCCTTCACCGCTGAAACGTCACTAGGTCAGTGCATATAGATCATATAATTCATGTTGTATTTCATTCTGTAATTAAGTGTTCCTAAATCGTTTAGAGATGCATATTTCTAAATAAGGAAAATGTAAATCAATAGTAAATATATCCTCTTCTAGAATGAGAGGAGGAGGTCATGGCCAGGGGAAAGACATCAAGTGCACCAGTTCCTAGTCTGGTCTGCATCCATTGCATTCTATGGAGATTGTCTTTCTAATAGTTTTCTGTTTGTTTTGCATTGTACAGGGTCAGAGTTTGTGACTGGCTGGACTGGAAAGAGAGGAAGGAAGCTCAAATCCAAATTGGAGAAAACAAAACAAAAGGTGGATGTTTAGTTTTCTTGTAGTGACGTCAGTCTGCTGTTCAGTGTTTCCCGGTATAAAGCCAGCTTCCTTCTCCCTGAATTTAGAAGATTACGTTGTCTATTTTGACAGGGACACAGATTGTCTTTTTGCTATTGAACGCATTACATATTATCCATCTAGTTGTTTAGCCGTCATATTTTTCTTTTAGGTTGTATGATACTGTAGTTATCCCCCAGTATTTCCTTTGCCAAGTGAGCCTAGAGCTCCTCCCTGTCGGTTCCTATGTTTTTAAATGTGTTTGTTTTGCCTAACGTAGTTGAATGTACTTATTGTAAGTGGCTCTGGATGAAGAGCGCCTGCTAAATGGCTAAAATGTCTAATCTAAATGTAGGTGAAGAGCGTGGCCAGAGACCTGTATGACGACCATTTCAAGGCGGTCGAGAGTATGCCCAGGGGGGTGGTGGTCACCCTGAGGAACATCGCCACCCAGCTGGAGTCTGCTTGGGAGCTGCATACCAACAGACAGGTACTGACATAGAAGCACATAAACTCTAACCTAATGTATATCAGAATGCGATAAACGTTATGCATACCAACAGACAGGGGTGGGGGAATCGCTACAATAATAAGACTGAGTATATATTTTTTCTCATTATTTGAATTACTCTGACATGGCAGTTGTATTTAGTTCTCTTGGTTGTTCTGTCTGAAGCTGTAGGCGACAGGTTTGACACAGTGAAAGTTAAATGTAATGCTTTGTCTGTTGCAGTGTATCGAGGGAGAGAACACATGGAGAGACCTGATGAAAACGGCTCTGGAAAACTTGATTGTGGTTCTCAAGGATGAAAACACCATCTCCCCATATGAAATGTGCAGCAGTGGCCTCGTGCAAGCACTTTTTACAGTGCTTAATAATGTAAGTAGGTTGGGATCGATGGATGGTTGAGCCGTTTTGGATGCGTTCCAAATGGTACCGTTCTTCCAATATAGTACACTACTTTTCACCAGGGCCCTCTGGGTAAAAGTAGTACTCTATATATAGGGAGCCATTTGGGCCGCAGATTTCTCTTTCTTAGCCTTGTTCTCAACACTGTCTGGGCATCCAACTTCCTCAATGTTGGGACAAAAAAACGTTCTGGATCTGAATATTCTGTCGTTAGTCCAACTCCTGCTCAATTAATGTTTTTCTTTTCTGTTTCAGAGTGTGGAACTTGACATGAAACATGATTGTAAACCATTAATGGAAAGGATAAATGTATTTAAAACCGCATTCAGTGAAAACGAAGATGATGAAAGGTGGTAATCTAATCATTCTGACTTTAATATCAGTTATTTTTAAAGATGAGTGAAAAAATATATATCTGTTAGTGGCTCATCTCCTGGTTTGTCCCATTTATTCAGCCGACCCGCAGTTGCCTTAATCCGCAAACTACTAGCAGTCCTGGAGTCCATTGAGAGGCTACCTCTGCACCTGTATGACACCCCAGGCTCCACCTATAACCTGCAGGTGAGTCTCTCCTCCAGCCACACCTCACACTAGTGTAGTGGTGGTGGCCAGTTGTTTGTTTGTTCCCTCAACCTAAGCAATAAACAGGTAATGTAAAATGGATTTGTCATTCTTTGTGTTTGTGTGCGTGTGTTAGATTCTGACGAGGCGGTTGCGTTTCCGTCTGGAGCGTGCCCCTGGGGAGACGGCACTGATCGACCGTACAGGGCGCATGTTGAAGATGGAGCCCCTGGCCACCGTGGAGTCTCTGGAGCAATACCTCCTCAAGATGGTACGACCCCCTTACTTTACTTTAACCCTGTTTAATCCTTTCATTATCTGCCCATTCAGTGTGTTTGAGGCGATCAGTTTGAGAAAGTCGAGGCGCAGAATGGTAATCTTGATCACATAATATATGTTATTTGGTATGCAAGGGGATTTGAATATCAGTGTTCCTGCGCATTTTGACTGCAATGTAGTCAATCTCAAACATGCACATGGTCTCAGAGTAATCTTCTCTCGCTCCTCCAGGTGGCCAAGCAGTGGTACGACTTTGACAGATCCTCCTTCATCTTCGTCAGGAAGCTGAGAGAGGGACAAACCTTCACATTCAGACACCAGCATGACTTTGACGAGAACGGAATAGTCTACTGGATTGGCACCAATGCAAAGTAAGTCTCCTCCCGTCGTCTTTATGTGCAAAGACCTGATAATAAGCAAAATGCTTATGATCCAATATAAGAAAAACAACCTTGTATTAATCTAGTGTGTTTCCTCTGTGTCTCCAGGACTGCCTATGAGTGGGTGAACCCAGCAGCCTATGGCCTGGTGGTCGTGACCTCCTCTGAGGGTCGTAACCTGCCCTACGGCCGACTGGAGGACATCCTGAGTCGGGACAGCTCTGCCCTCAACTGCCACACCAACGACGATAAGAACGCCTGGTTCGCCATCGACCTGGGCCTGTGGGTCATCCCCTCGGCCTACACCCTGCGCCATGCCCGCGGCTACGGACGCTCCGCCCTCAGGAACTGGGTGTTCCAGGTGTCCAAAGACGGCCAGAACTGGATGAGTCTGTACACCCACGTGGATGACTGCAGCCTCAACGAGCCAGGGTAAGTAAGCCTTGTCCTAGACAGAATGGCCCATAGGACAGGAGCCTCTCTTCAGGAAAAACTCAGGACCCTAAACACATAAGTCTGATTCTGACTGTGAGTTTGTGTCTTGTCCTGTCGAAGGTCCACAGCCACCTGGCCTCTGGACCCTTCCAAAGAGGAGAAGCAGGGCTGGAGACACATCCGCATCAAGCAGATGGGGAAGAATGCCAGTGGGCAGACCCACTACCTGTCTCTGTCAGGCCTGGAGATCTACGGCACCGTAAGCGGCGTGTGTGAGGACCAGCTAGGTAAGAGTCTGCTCCTGGGTCCCATCAAGGTTTCTTCCATCTAGGGAGTTGGTCCTTGCTACTTCTGCTTGCTTTTTGGGGGGGGGGTCTAAGCTCCCGCCAGTGCTGTCAAGGAACAGTCAAAACACTTAAGGATTTTAACAAGTGTTCATACTCCTTGACTTATTCCACATGTTGTTGTTACAGCCTGAATTCAAAATTGATGACATTTATTTGTTTCTCACCCATCTACACACAATACCCATACTGACAAAGTGAAAATATGTTTTTAGAAATTAATTGAAAATGAAATACTAATTTACATAAGTATTCACACCCCTGAGTCAATGCATGTTAGAATCACCTTTGGCAGCGATTTAGAGCTGTGAGTCTTTCTGGGTACGTTTCTAAGAGCTTTCCACACATGGATTGCACAACATTTGCCCATTTATTCTTTTTTAAATTCTTCACGCTCCGTCAAATTGGTTGTTGATCATTGGTAGACAACCATTTTCAGGTCTTGCCATAGATTTTCAAGTAGATTTAATTCAAAACTGTAACAGTGTCCAGTGGAAAGCAGACAACCAGGTTTTCCTCTAGGATTTTGCCTGTGCTTAGCTCCATTCCGTTTCTTTTTTATCCTGAAAAACTCCCCAGTCCTTAACGATTACAAGCATACACCCAAACAAGGGCACCACTGGCTTCCAGTTGAGGCTCGCATCTACTACAAGACCAGGGTGCTTGCCTACGGAGCTGTGAGGGGAACGGCACCTCCTTACCTTCAGGCTCTGATCAGACCCTACACCCAAACAAGGGCACTACGTTCATCCACCTCTGGCCTGCTAGCCCCCCTACCTCTACGAAAGCACAGTTCCCGCTCAGCCCAGTCAAAGCTATTTGCTGCTCTGGCACCCCAATGGTGGAACAAGCTCCCCCACGACGCCAGGACAGCGGAGTCACTGACCACCTTCCAGAGACACTTGAAATCCTACCTCTTTAAGGAATACCTGGAATAGTATAAAGTAATCCTTCTACTACCCCCCCCCCCCCCCCCCCCCCCCCAAAAAAAAAAAAAAAAAAAAAAAAGTGGTTGTCCCACTGGCTATCATAAGTTGAATGCACCAATTTGTAAGTCGCTCTGGATAAGAGCGTCTGCTGTAAATGTATTCAGGACAAAAAGTTAATTGCTTTGCCAACATTTTTTGCAGTATTACTTTAGTGCCTTATTGCAAACGATGCATGTTTTGGTATATTTGTATTCTGTACATTAGGTTAGTATTGTGGAGTAATTACAATATTGTTGATCCATCCTCTGTAATTGTTTTTAAAGTCACCATAGGCCTAAAATCCCTGAGCGGTTTCCTTCCTCTCCGGCAACTGAGTTAGTGACTGGGTTTATTGATACACCATCGAAAGTGTCATCAATAACTTCACCATGTTCAAAGGGGTATTCAATGTCTGCTTTGATTATTGTTACCCATCTACCAATAGAGCCCACAGTGGAGGTGTCATAATACCCATAAAACCTAGCGGTCAAACAGGGAAATGCTTCCAATCCTTTTCCACCGTACATTTTTCCCATAGGGGATTTTAGAAACACTTAATAAGGGCTGTGTTTCGTGTAGGCTTACCCTGGCGTGACGTTTTGATAACCATATAAATCTCTCTCGGACAATTTGACTTTTATCAATATATTCTGATCTATTTACTCTGATTCTAAAATGCTAATTAGACATTATGCAAAACTACAAATCCCTGCAAGCTCCTGCACGTCATGTCTAGCTGACACCTTTACTAACAGGTATTGTCTCAATTTAAAACTTGCACAGTTCACGGAATTGTCAATTTAAAGAAATGTAGCCAATTTATTCATTACCGTTTGGCTAACATTAGATAGTTAATCCAGAGATTCTTACCTTTGCCTCGATTTGGCAGTCTCGTCCAGATCATCATTGCATTTGGAGTTCTTTATCATAGTCACATTAGCAGCTAATTAGCATTTCATTTTTGGAGGGTAAATACAGGCAAATATATTAATAAAAGTCACCTTGTCCTACCTAGAGAGATTTACACAGTTATCAAAACGTCACGCCAGGGTAAGCCTACACGAAACAGCCCTTATTTTAAGTGTTTCTAAAATCCCCCATGGGAAAAATGAATGGTGGAAAAAAAATTGGAACCATTTCCCTGTTTGACTGCTAGATTTTATGGGTATTATGACTCATACATAACAAAGGGATTGAATACTTTTTGACTCGAGACATTTCAGCTTTTCATTTTTTTATTAATAATAGAATTCCACTTTGACATAAGGTATTGTGTGTAGGCCAGTTACAGAACATCTCCAATGAATCCATTTTAAACTCAGGCTGTAACAACAACATTTTGAAAAAGTCAAGGGGTGTGAATACTTTCTGAAGGCACTGTGTGTATGCGAGGAGCACTCTTTTTGCTGAGGCCGACAGTGGTTGTACACTGAACAAAAATATAAACGCAACATGCAACAATTTCAAAGATTTACGTAGATATAAGGAAATCAGTCAATTGATATAAATTCATTAGGCCCTAATCTATGGATTTCACATGACTGGGAATACATAAATGCATCTGTTGGTCACAGATACCTTAGAAAAAAAGGTAGGGTTCTGGATCAGAGAACCAGTCATTATCTGGTGTGACCACCATTTGCCTCATGCAGCGCGACACATCTCCTTCGTATAGAGTTGATCAGGCTGTTGATTGTGGCCTGTGGAATGTTGTCCCACTCCTCTTCAATGGCTGTGCGAAGTTGCTTGGTATTGGCGGGAACTGGAAAACGCTGTCGTACACGTCGATCCAGAGCATCTCAAACACGCTCAATGGGTTACGTCTGGTGAGTATGCAGGCCATGGAATAACTGGGATATTTTCAGCTTCCAGGAATTGTGTACAGAACCTTGCGACATGGGGCCGTGCATTATCATGCTGAAACATGAGGTGATGGCGGCGGATGAATTGCACGACAATGGGCCTCAGGATCTCGTCACGGTGCATTGAAATTGCCATCGATAAAATGCAATTGTGTTCGTTGTCCGTAGCTTATGCCTGCCCATACCATAACCCCACCGCCACCATGGGGTACTCTGTTCAGAACATTGAGGTCAGCAAACCGCTCATCCACATGACGCCATACGCGTGGTCTGCGGTTTTGAGGCCAGTTAGACGTACTGCCAAATTCTCTAAAATGACGTTGGAGGCGGCTTATGGTAGAGAAATGAACCTTCAATTGTCTGGCAACAGCTCTGGTGGACATTCCTGCAGTCAGCATGCCAATTGCACGCTCCCTCAACTTGAGACATCTGTGGCGTTGTGTGACAAAACTGCACATTTTAGTGGCTTTTTATTGTCCCCAGCACAAGGTGCACCTGTGTAATGATCATGCTGTTTCATCAGCTTCTTGATATGCCACAACTGTCAGGTGGATGGATTATCTTGGCAAAGTAGAAAAGCTCACTAACAGGGATGGATGTAAAGCTTTTTGTGCGTATGAAACATTTCGGGGATCTTTTATTTCACGCAACATGGGACCAACACTTTAAATGTTGCGTTTTATATTTTTGGTCAGTGTAGTATGTTTATGAATAATGATTCATTAGATGTTAATGACTCTAAGCAATCTGACCCGTCTCCTTCTCCCCTCCACAGGTAAAGCAGTGAAGGAAGCGGAGGCCAATCTACGCAGGCAGAGGCGTCTGTTCCGCTCCCAGGTGATGAAGTACATAGTGCCCGGGGCGCGCGTGGTGCGGGGCATCGACTGGAAGTGGAGAGACCAGGATGGCAACCCAGCAGGAGAGGGTACGGTGACGGGGGAGGCCCATAACGGTAAAACTCTACTACAGCCTAAGCCCACACCATCTAATATAACGTCCGTCTGGGTGTGTGGAACTGAACCACCACACCCACAGCTTGCATAGAAAGCTTTTGTTTTTAAATGGGAAAGAAAGGTGTAAGAAATGTTCTAAAGGGACTTAGTCGACTGACATGATGATGCATGTTTAAACTGCTAAAGCAGGACATAATGCAGAGCTTTATCCCAGAATAAACCCATACGTCACCCCATCATCATCACATGTAGACAGTGGGGAGTGTTGTAATAGTTGTTCAGAGAAATTGGGCTACGTAACTATGGCTATTGAACATAGGATGTGCAAAAACTAGTAACAATGTAACAATGGAGTCATTGATACAAATATAGAATTTTCTAAAACAAATTGTGAACATCAAGTGCATTTACATGCTTTGAGGAGCCTTTTAGTACATCTTAAAGGGCAATCCACCACTTTTCAACCTCATTTTCATAATCTCCAGCACAATACCAGTGTCTACATATGTGAAAACGGTGCATTTCGACTTTTTGTTGCAAAAAAATATACAGTTAAACTCGTTGCAGGTTTTGAAATTAACTGGGTTTTTTTTTTGCTTTTATTCTTACCCTTGTCATTTTATAGGACCATATCTTTTTAACTACAGATCATAGAAACATTTTCACATATGTATACACTGATACGGTCCTGGAGATAATGAATAGGAGGTTGAAAAGTGGAGGAATTGCCCTTTAACCCAAATCTCATTTTTTACTAACTCTCGTCCCACTTTTGTATGTTAAAAACTGAGGGTAGAGTCGGTCTGAAAGAAACCGACCAGCAGTTGTTCATTATGTCCTAATATAATGTTTGCGCTTACATAACATTTGTGCTATAACCCTGATCAGTAACTTGAAAAACAATGTCTGTATAAGACATTGTACAGGTGGGTTGGTGGGCGGAGCTGCTACACAGTTCTAAACGGTCCAGCGTTTTCCCCCCTGGCTTTCCCACTAAAGACTGTTACTTTCTACCTTCTGCTTCTGACCTATCACGATAGGCCTATTACTTACTTACTCCTCTTCATCCCCATTGGGAAATAAGGCTGTGCTTTATGTTAATGAAGGATCAATAATAACCTTCAAGAGCACTTTAACTGTAGAGGCTGAGCACTGACTACAGAGCAGCCTAGTGGTTGATCAGAGTCAGTGCTACTGCTCTGCTATGTGACTAGACTGCATTATGTGGGGCTCATCCTCCTATTGCTCTTCCGGCCACATTATTAAATACAAGGGTGTGAAAAGGATCATATATTACCGATCTCTGTATGCCGAACGTCTTTTAAAACCACTCTCATGATCATTTTACGTATTTCACTAAACTTGCAAAACTGTCACTACCATTATACCCTTTTTGTTATTAGTTTGCTATTTTGAAGTGCAACCCTCCCCCCTCTCCCCCAACTTACCAGGTAACTTTTTCATACTTGTACAAGCTATCTGTTAGATCTCTGGGCAGCCATGTGTTTTAAATACGTTTTGACTAATTGTCTCCATCAATCAACTAAGTGCATGTTGATGTCACAATTTGCAAGCACTGAATAGACTCACTCCATTGCAACTATATTATATTTACATTGACAAAAATGTTCTTCAGTTCCTTTTTCTCAAGTGGCTTTTAGCTTCGCATTTGCAAAATTCTACTTTGCTTCTCATTTTCTGTAACTCATGATTTCTATTCCATTGCTTCACCTGGACCAGAGTAATGGACCATACGGTTTTGTTAAGACACCCAATATCTAATTTGACTTGCTATTGATTTAACTACTCAGCAATATGCTGAACATATTATCAGCTTCAGCATAGCTGCATAGAATTGCATACTGATTTTGAATTATGGCTCTAGTCTGAAGCTGTATTCGGCCCACCTGTCGTTTATTGTCATAAAGGTATCTGGTCCAGTGTCAAGCGGAGTTGCTGTCTTGACTTGCTGTCTGCTCTCTGCTGGGTCTCACAACATTCATATCCCTTTCCAGGCTGGATTGATGTCACCTGGGATGCTGGTGGCTCAAACTCATACCGTATGGGTGCTGAAGGAAAATTTGACCTCAAGCTTGCGCCAGGGTACGACCCTGAGTCTGCGCCGTCACCCAAACCTGTCTCATCCACTGTTTCAGGCACAGCGCAGTCCTGGAGCAGCCTGGTGAAAAATAACTGTCCGGACAAGGGTGGCTCCTCCTCGGCTGCAGGGGCCAGCTCTTCAAGCCGGAAGGGCAGTAGCAGCTCGGTGTGTAGCGTGGCCAGCAGCAGCGATATCAGTCTCAGCTCCACCAAGATAGAGCGCCGGGCCGAGAGCCTGCTGGAGCAAGGGGGGGTACTAGGGGTCGGTGGTGGCACCCCCGGGGCAGAGGGCCAAGAGCCCATCGTGGTGCTATCCTCCGAGGCTGGATGCGCATCCAGCACGTTAACTGCTGAGGAGGGCGGCGAGCGGAAAGCGGGCGCGGACAGGCAAGCGGCGGCAGACGCCACGGCCATCTCCATGGCACTAGTCAGCGTCAGCTCGCCCGACGTCAGCTCCGTGTCCGAGTCCTCTAGTAAGGAGGCGGCTTCCCAGAGGCCTCTATGTTCTGCGGCCAGTGCCCGTCTGTCCGTCAGCTCTCTGCTGGCTGCCAGCGCTCCCATGAGCTCCAGCGCCAGCGTGCCCAACCTGTCGTCACGGGAGGCCAGCCTCATGGAATCGTTTGTGAGGAGGGCTCCCAACATGTCCCGCACCAATGCCACCAACAACATGAACCTGAGCCGCAGCAGCAGCGACAACAACACCAACACACTGGGACGAAACGTCATGAGCACTGCCAGTGAGTATTCAGCCTATACTGTCTGCAGGCCAGGGATGCATGGGATACATTTACATTTTAGTCATTTAGCAGACGCTCTTATCCAGAGCGACTTACAGTTAGTGAGTGCATAGATTATTTTATTTTTTTCATACTGGTCCCCCGTGGGAAACGAACCCACAACCCTGGCACTGCAAACGCCATGCTCTACCAACTGAGCTACACGGCCCTCAGCCTTCAGTGCACATAAAGGACCACTGTCCAGCCAGCTACTGGACATGATTGGTTAGACTTGTAGAAGGAGACTTGTAACTTGGGTTCGTGATTTGGTCAAACTTTTACATAAACGTAGAGTTTAGCTTCAGCTAGTACAATAATAAAGTATACAATTTTTACAACGTGAAGTAGTAGTTAATTTTACATTGCAAGGACACGTGTAATGTTTTAAACAAGTACTGTGAATGCATACATCGCAAAAATATGTAAAATGTTTTACAATGTGTTCAATATTGATAAAATGATTGCTAATCTGATCACCACATAAAGGGAAGGAACAAAACAGCCAAGAAGAATAACTACTGGCTTCACATAAGAATGGTGTTCTTGCTTTTGTGCTGATGTTTTTTTGTTTGTCTTTGCTCTAATATTAGGCTATTTCGTTAAACCAAGGAGAATCTAATGACTTTTTTGGCTTTGCTGACAGTGTATTACTAAATTTGATTTATTTCATCCTTAAATAGAGCTATAGAAATAATGAGCGGTGGATACTTTTATAATATTGACACATTTTTTTACTCAACATGACTTCCAATGGTCAGAAGATGCTGACTGTGGCTTGAATGTGATAAGCATGTGTAGTGGCAGAAGAACTAGCATTCAATAATACCTGCTTATTTTTCTGTTTGGGAACTAATCGCATTTTTGGTTTTTGTTTGTTTGCAGCTTCTCCTCTCATGGGTGCACAGAGCTTTCCTAACCTCACAACCACTGGTACCACCTCAACTGTTACAATGTCCACATCCATAGTAACCAGCAGCAATAATGTATCCACGGCAACCACAGGTTTGTCGGTTGGCCAGTTGCTCAGTAACACTCTGACCACCAGCTTGACCTCTACGTCTAGTGAGAGCGACACTGGTCAGGAAGCTGAGTTTTCCCTCTATGGTAGGCTATACTAGAATTACTACTATTACTATGATTATTATTATTATTATGTTATATAGATTATAGATCTATTTTCTCCTCCTCCACTACTCTTCTGCTTCTTCAACATTGAACACATGTTTCTACTGCCTAACATCCATGTTGACATTTGACACATCTTGACTCGTCAGTCTCCTCCTCATACATTTGGCTAGCGCTTTCTAACTCGGACGCTATATAAAGTGCATGATGATCAGTTGTTTCTAGTGAGACCTCACACTTGAGTCATCTCCCTGCAGACTTCCTGGACAGCTGTCGTGCTAACACGCTATTGGCCGAGTTAGATGATGAGGAGGATCTGCCTGAGCCAGATGATGATGATGATGAGAACGAGGATGACAATCAGGAAGACCAAGAGTATGAGGAAGTTTTGGTACGGTCCAGGGTAAACCTTGGTTTCCACATTCATTTTAATAGGGTAAAATTTGTTGCAGTTTCTCTTCATATAGTGTACTTGTCGATTGCATGCTTGTACTCCCTTATAAAAAATGATTGCCTGAACCTCGCTTAAGTTTGTCTGTAAATTCTGTGGGTTGTGAAGTGTGTGATTTGTGAATGAATGCAATGTTGTTTTTTGTTTTGTTTTTATGAATGTTTCTTTCTCCTGTAGATGTCTAATATCTGTGTTGTGTGTAATACCTTGTCTGCCACTCCCAGAGAACTGAGGGCGGTTGTTCATGTCCTGTTTTAACAGGAAGAGGAAGAGTATGAAACCAAAGGGGGTCGGCGTAGAACCTGGGACGATGACTTTGTCCTCAAGCGCCAGTTCTCTGCTTTAGTCCCGGCGTTTGACCCCAGACCAGGCCGGACCAACGTCCAGCAGACCACTGACTTGGAGATCCCTCCCCCAGGTACACACACAACACCAACACTATACAGTTCAATATGTATGACTGTGGATGGACTTGGTTTGTACATGATTACTAGACAAATGGCAAGTCTTTCACACATACTTCAATTGAGCTCTAGAGCACAGCGGTGAGCTTTATCTTAATGTCTTTCCTTGTCCATACAGGTACACCTCGCTCTGAAGTCCAGGAGGAGGTTGAGTGTGCCCCCTCCCCCCACCTCGCCCTCATCCTCAAAGTGGCAGGGCTTGGAACCACCCGAGAAGTTGAACTACCTCTCTCCAACTACAAGGGTACTATCTTTTACTATGTCCAGAAGCTCCTGCAGGTTTCCTGCAGCGGGAGCATCAAATCAGATAAACTACGCCGGATCTGGGAACCGACATATACGTAAGTCTGCCTGGCTTGGATGATGGTTGTTTGAGTTTTTCCTCATGATTCTAACTTGATACTATGGTGAAACCTAAACTGAAAATAGCCTTTTGATCTCCTTTCCTAATGATGTTTTGACTTTCTGTGTTGCAGGATAATGTACAGAGAAATGAAGGATTCGGACAAAGAGAAGGAAAATAGAAAGATGGTAATTGACAGGTTTCACATCCCCTCAGTCTTTCTATCCTGCCCATTTAAAATCTTGGCTGTGAATTTCTGTGCCTGTTCTCAAATGTGTAGCTAAATGTTCCTCCTGGATAGCTAGCCAGCTAGACAGACATACCTCACTAACCTTTTAAAGAAGCACGGAGACTGTGACTGAAAACCCGATTAGTCATAATGTAGCTAGAGTAACTGCACCGGCCTCTTTAGTGATTAAACCAATCTACTGTAATGCATGTCTATTTGCCTTGAGACTTTACAATCAGGAAAGACCAACATTTGGTTCTTCCTGTTGTAGGGTTGCTGGTCTGTAGAGCATGTGGAACAATACCTTGGCACTGATGAATTACCAAAGAATGACTTGATAACCTACATGCAGAAGAATGCAGACTCATCTTTCCTGCGCCACTGGAAATTAACCGGCACTAATAAAAGTATTAGGAAAAACAGAAATTGTTCTCAGCTCATAGCTGCATACAAGGTATAGAACGACATCAAGATGTTGCTTATATATCTATTTTCTCTTCACTGTTTTGATATATCGTTTTCTTTCTTGCTTGACTCACTTGTGTAGCCACTTGTGTTAGACAGTTGTTGCTGTTCTCTTAACTTTAGCTAAATGGCTTGTGGCTGTTCTGTAAATAATGCATTACCATGATTTGCATAGACGTCATTGTTGTGAGTCTGTTCCGTTTCATTCTTTTGTTGTCACCCGAACATGATTGTGAGAATGCAGTAATTGAATGTATGTACAGTAAAATAGCCATGTCCAGTTTTATGCTACTGTCTTCACTGTTAATCAGAGAGTTAGTGTAGTCAGGGAGCTGAAGGAAACATCAGGTTTAAACCACAGTCCATATGATTGCTTGCAGGACTTCTGTGAGCATGGATGCAGGTCAGGGGGCTTGAGCCCTGGGTCTCTGGGTGTCATGCAGACCTGTGACATCCTGAGTGTGGCCAGGGAGCAGGCCCAGGCCAAGGCTGGCTCCAGCCAGAGCGCCTGCGGAGTGGAGGACGTACTCCAGCTGCTCCGCATCCTGTTCATCATCGGGGGAGACCCCAACGCTCACGCACGCACCTTCCAGGAAGGTACGGACACACACATCAGAACACACACACCTGCATCCTCTTCAACATTGGGGGACACCCCCACACACATCTACCAGGAAGTTACGGCTACACCCAGCATACCACCTCAGACAGTGGGAACTGGGCAACTCTGATCCTATGTAGTTGTATTTAGTTATGCCCCCATCTCATGTCATCTGAATACAAGATAACGTTCAACCTTATTTTATGATCCTCAAGCACTTTAGTCATGTGTTTGCAGTGAAAACGTAACTTGTTTGTGTTCTTAATGACACGTGTTGTTAATCTACTGTGTTTTTGACTAGATGTGGACGACCTCCAATTCAATGCATCGCCTGAGGAATTCACCAGCAAGAAGGTCACAACAAAGATTCTTCAGCAGATAGAGGAGCCTCTGGCCCTAGCCAGCGGGGCCCTCCCAGACTGGTGTGAGCAGCTAACCAGCAAGTGTCCTTTCCTCATCCCCTTCGAGACCCGGCAGCTGTACTTCACCTGCACTGCGTTTGGAGCTTCCAGGTTAGTGCTACTTGACATGTAACGGAAATGGGTGTCTGTCATGCTCTGTACTCTCCTGAAGCTGGTGCAATGTCTTGTACTGCAGTGAATAACAAACATTGTGCTCCCTCACATATTACATATTGAAGAGAAATTATTTGAGTGCTGTCCATTTCATTCACCTTATACTGTACTGACCCTGTATGTGCCTGTGTCCTCAAGGGCAATAGTGTGGCTGCAGAACCGGCGGGAGGCCACCATTGAGCGCTCTCGGCCCTCCACCACAGTACGGAGGGACGACCCTGGGGAGTTTAGGGTGGGCCGGCTCAAACACGAGAGGATCAAGGTCCCCCGTGGAGACCAGATGATGGAGTGGGCCGAGAGCGTCATGCAGATCCACGCCGACAGGAAGTCTGTTCTGGAGGTAAAATACCATGCTAGATTACAACAGATTTAAGCAGATATATTTTTTACTCCTGGACTAAAAAGCATGCTCAATGGAGAATCTATGTGGAGTGATTATTGATGGTCATTGGTTGCCATGAATAAGTGGTCCATGCAATGCTATGTGGTGTGAAATAAGTCCTCATTCATCCAATTCATAGTCATGAACTTTGTAAGCTTACTGTACATGCTTTTTGTGTGGTTTTTTACAGCTTGGTAATGTCCTCTATTACTTTGAATGGCATGGATATGAAAGTTCTTAGTGACTATCCCAATGTGTCTCTTCCCAGGTTGAGTTCCAGGGGGAGGAGGGCACAGGCCTGGGTCCCACCCTGGAGTTCTATGCTCTGGTGGCAGCTGAGTTCCAGAGGACTTCCCTGGGTATCTGGCTCTGTGATGATGACTTCCCAGACGATGAGTCTCGCCAGGCAAGTGCCACTTTACTGTCACATGAAAACGTAGACCTAATTTGGACTAATAATATGCACAATTGAAACAATTGACAATGTCCATGCAATTACATGCTCTAATTTTCTTCAAGAACAACATACTGTATATTTAGATTTTATGAACCATGTCAGTGTCACTTTAAATGAATACTTTTTGGATTAACTGTGTATTGTTCTTTCAGGTGGATCTGGGTGGGGGTCTCAAACCTCCAGGCTACTACGTCCAGCGCTCCTGCGGCCTGTTCCCCGCCCCATTCCCCCAAGACAGTGATGAGCTGGAGCGCCTCAGCAAACTCTTCCTCTTCCTTGGGGTCTTCCTGGCCAAGTGCATCCAGGACAACCGCCTGGTGGACCTGCCCATCTCACGACCCTTCTTCAAGCTTCTTTGCATGGGTGACATTAAAAGCAACATGTCCAAGCTGCTCTATGCATCCCGCGGGGGCCCTCTCCTCCTCGATCCTACCGAGCAGCACCGCCACTTCTCAGAGATCCAGTCGGAGGCGTCCACCGAGGAGAGCCAGGACACTTATTCCATCGGCAGCTTTGACGAGGACTCCAAGTCTGAGTTCATCCTGGACCCCCCTAAACCCAAGCCCCCAGCCTGGTACCATGGCATCCTGAACTGGGAGGACTTTGAACTGGTCAACCCCCACCGGGCCAAGTTCCTGAAGGAGATGAAGGAGCTGGCGGTGAAGAGGAGGCTGATCCTAGGGAACAAGAGTCTGTCTGAGGATGAGAAGAACACTAGGCTGCAGGACCTCATGCTGAAGAACCCCATGGGCTCTGGACCCCCGCTTAGTGTAGAGGACCTGGGGTGAGCACAGTGCCTACCACCACTCTTACTGAGAGAGCTTCTTAAATTAGTCAAAAATTCAATGGTTAATATCCTGAATTAGAATGACATTTGTGCTAATTACATTGTTTTGTAGGCTATGTATAATCACCTTTGTCAGTTTCCCAATATGCTGATTTAATTATTTGTTCCTTGACAGCTGTAACGTTGTCATTCAACATGGCTAATTTTGAGTCCCTTTTCTCCCAGATTGAATTTCCAGTTCTGCCCTTCATCCAAAGTGCATGGGTTCTCAGCAGTGGATCTGAAGCCCAATGGAAATGATGAGGTAGGTAGAGAACTGCACCACTATTGGCTCTGACCTGAGTTTTATTGGGTAGATGAGTGGTGTCTTAATCTGGCCTGTGCCCCTCTCTGTTAATCCTTCCAGATGGTGACCATGGAGAATGCCGAGGAGTATGTGGAGCTCATGTTTGACTTCTCTATGCACACTGGCATCCAGAAACAAATGGAGGCTTTCAGAGGTATGCCTATTGAAACAACACACAGATTAGCATTAGTCATCACATAGAACAAATTAATTTGTGTTTGCACACTACATTTTGAATGTAATGAAATGAACGGTTCTTTTCTCAGAGGGCTTTAACCGAGTGTTCCCAATGGAGAAGCTGAGCTCCTTCAGTCACAAGGAGGTGCAGATGATCCTCTGTGGAAACCAGTCTCCTTCCTGGACATCTGAGGACGTCATGAACTACACAGAGCCCAAGCTGGGCTACACTCGGGACAGGTATGATGGCACTCGTATCTACTACAGCTTGTAGACTAGATAAATTACTCTGGCCAGCTTGAAAAAAGTTTATTTGACATTAGATCTCCTTGTATTGACTGTGTTAGTCGTGATTAAAAAGGGTTCAAATGACAAGAACTGAAATGGCGAAGTCGCTAACATGAACAGAACGTCACTTACTTAGTTCCTGGAGGAACATGGGACCTGCACTACTGCACCAGTACATCAACTGACACTATCTAACAGCTTGTTGTTTTCATATTTTGCTGGAGAGACCTTTTTAACTGTCTGTTCTGGTCCTCTCCACAGTCCTGGGTTCCTGCGTTTTGTGCGGGTGCTATGTGGCATGTCATCTGACGAGAGGAAAGCTTTCCTCCAGTTCACCACAGGATGCTCCACTCTGCCCCCTGGTGGTTTGGCCAACCTGCACCCACGCCTCACCATCGTTCGGAAGGTAAGGCTCTCCATGAGGCCAATCACTGCTGAGTTTAGGAAACTATGTCAACCTTGTAGTACAGTAAGCCATCCTAATGAGGTTGATATTGACATGTTTCATAAATGCTGCCAGTAGAAATTTGGGGAATGTTTGAAATGAAATGTATTCTGTTCAGCTTTAAATCATAGTATTGTAATGACGCTACCTCCATCACTTGTATCTGCCACTCCAGTCCTCTGGGATTATAGAGCAGGGCTGTGACTGCAATGCAATGAACCTAATTGTTCCTCCTAGGTGGATGCGGCAGACTCCAGCTATCCCTCTGTTAACACTTGTGTGCACTACCTGAAGCTGCCAGAGTATTCCTCTGAAGACATCATGAGAGAGCGCCTCCTAGCTGCTACCATGGAGAAGGGCTTCCACCTCAACTGAGCATGCTCCGTCTGCCCCATAATGACTGACCAACCCCCCTTGCTGGTGAAGCCTGTTGTGATTTGTTGCAGAAAAAGAAACATGCTGTGCTCTCTGAGATCTTCCCCCTTCCTCCCAACCCCACCAAACCTTAAATCTCCCCCGTCCTTTCCCCCTGAAAACTTTAGGAAGACAGTCCCATGTTAACTCAATAGCTACTGATACAGATAAGACCAGGGGCATCCCCCCACCTTCCTCCCCTGTCCTCTGACCCACCTGCTTACTTGTCACAGCTCCCTCCCTCCCCAGGGCACTCTGCTGCTTTAAGGGCTTGAGCAACTGGAAGCCGGGGCAGACAGTTTCCTCATGTTCTACAGTGTTTACTATCTCTCTCTCTCATACTCTGGCTGTGAGCATCTGTGTACAAGTTCTCTGTAGATTTTTGGGTTTTCAGATTGACACCATCTTCTCTCCATCACCCGGCTGTCAACCTCCTTCCTTTCCCTGCGTGATGTGAGGGGAGAAGGGCATCTGCTTCTGTAGAGCTAACTGTAGTGTTTTGGCATTTCCTTACCAGGTTAAGGTTTACTAGTGCCTGCATTGTTTGAATATTAGGATGTTCTTTTTCCTTTTACTTCATCTAACATCATACAATCATGATGCACATGCTTATTTTTCCTTTTCATTTTGCTTTCGTTACTGTGTGAGTGTTTTGATGTTTATTACCCTGCTATAAGGATCAAAGTCCCTGAGTGCATTTGTGTAATTTGACAATAAAGCTAGAGACAAAAACACTGGTTCTGTGTGCAAGGCACATTTAAAAAGAAAAAAAGCAAGCTATGCTTTCCCTTGTATTTTCTTTGTATATTATAAACATTTATTTAACTCAAGTTGCAGTTTGAAGTAAACAGATATTTTCAAATGTGTATGCTCCGAAAATAATCATTAAAATGTTTGCAAAGTATGAAAAGTATTGTTTATTTACATTTAAAAAAAGACCTGAATAACTTTCCATGCACATTAAAGCTCCAAGGCAAAATGTACGTGTAATACCACAGTTCAATCTATTACTATAGCTACTGTATAAAAACAAATCCCTATTCTATGCAATGGATTATTATTGATAAACTCAAGTATGAAGTCCATAAATCATTTGGATGGCAATGTGTCCCTTTTTCAAAGGGAAATAGTCCTGGTTTGTTCAGATCTAGTGTCCAAAAGCCTGTTTTAGCATGGATAGCTCATAAGAGATCGACTCATCTTTGTATTTGTGCATTATAGCATCTGTGACAGCATGGGCAGCGCCATTGAGGCTATCACCATTTTTAAGTAGTCAGTTTTCTTCACGATTGGCTGATCCCTCCTGATGACCTGGTTGGACATGATTTCAACAGGGTCACCAGGAGGGATCATCCAAAAAGTTGAAAGTCTCACCCAGTTGAATACATTAAAATGGTGGAAGCCCTCAATGGCGCTGCCCATGCTAATACGGCCTGTTGGACACTAGAGGCCTCTCATTCTCTAGGGGGCAGCGCCAGTCAGAACTTTCACCATTTTGAAGTGGCGCCTTAAAGGTAAACTCCACCCTAAAACAATATTTTGGTATTTGTTTAATTAGTTGACATTGTCGCAAAATGTTTTGCTTGTCAGCCATCAAGTTTTCAAGATAAGCAACTTTCGTGCCACATTCAAAACAACTCGGAACTGGGAACTCGGGAATTTCCGACTTCAGTACGTTCAAAACAACTGGGAACTCGAAACAAAAAGGGGTTCCGACTGGGGAAAAATCTATTTGAACGGTCATCCAACTCGGGAACTTGGGCCTCTTTCTAGAGCTCCGACTTTCCAACCTGAAGATCACTGACGTCATGATTTGACCTTGTATTTTTCAGAGTTCCCAGTTGTTTTGAATGCGGCATTAAAATACAGAAATCATCCCTGTGTGATGCATTTTGCACCATATAAAGCAAAATGTAAGGAGTTTTCCTTCAAGGATCACATAATTCCATCCAGGTCACCAGGAGGGATCAGCCAATGAATTATAGTCGTGAGGAGACATTCCATAACCGCAGGTGGCAGTAAATCGCCAACCTCTGCTTTAGTCCTGTTCAAACAACAAACTCTAGGTGGCAGTGTGCACCCTTTCAGTTTGCCAACTCATTGAAGAAAATTGACTACATAATGGAGATGGCCTCAATGGCTCTGACCGTGCTCTTAAAGACGTCATAATTGGACAGATGCGATGTCTATCTAAGTCTATGGTTCAAACAACTGCTCAATGTGCCTCAGCCATCTTGTCCAGAGCTAGTAGAGGTGCCAGGATGCGGTTCTTGTTGGTCTCCACTATGTGTCCATTCTGGATCATCTCATCAATGATGATGTGCACTTTATCCAGGTTGAACATGATCTGAGCTGGAGTTAAGGGCATTAAATAATCTCACTGTCAACATTGAATACACATTTATTCCCTATCACAGTGTAAAGGAGACCATTTGTTTCCTCCCTCAATGAGCCCTCTACATTAGTAAGAATAATGTTCTTGTTATCTCTGGCTACACCATTAACATGTCACTGGTCAGGTTGAACAACTTTGACAACTTAACAGTGAACTGTTAACACCACCGACTGTAGTTGCATTCCACTCCTTATGACTGGTCTGACCCCAGCTAGTCTGACTTCCCACTGAGCCCAGACAATGACAGTAGTCTTCATCAGTCTGTGCAGTGCCATACTAAATGCTAGGCCTGGAATGGCACTGTTGGCAAGCCACATGAAAAGCCCCTAATGCAAAGGTGGACAGGCAGACAGCCCCTGCTTCTGTTTCAATGACATGTTTCCTCAAACTGATTAATAACAAAACAAGTTATAATAATTAGTAAAGGATACATCCAATTCACTCTGTTAGGAGAGAAAAACACAAAGCAGTTACATGATTATTAGGCAAACCAGGATACAGCACATCTGCCAATGGAAAACAACTGTCTAATGTGAAGTATTTACTTTTCTAATGGGGAACGATTCGTTTAGAGTAATGTATTTTTGTCCCAGAAAATACTGACCTTAAAAATGCTGAGCTATGCACAGGTGGTTGGATAGTTAACATGAAGTAAATCTAGTATACAGCAAGAATGTGCTAAAGTAGTGAATAAAGAGACTGAACTCACCACACGACTAAAGTACGTGTCAAGAACCTCAACAAAGTTGTGTACCAGCTCATAGATTGACAGCTCATTCTGTGGGAAAGAAGGACATCCCACACCATGAATCATGTATGCATAATCACAATAATACAATCTCAACCTTAATCTGATAACACTAATACTTGTACACTTATAACAGTGAAATGATGAACTCACCTCAGTGTCACTGATACCAACAACTATGAAGAGAGCAGCATACTGTCGATACACTAGTTTGAAGTCCTTGTATTCCACAAAAGAGCACTAGATAGAAAATAATAGTTACTTGGATGTGAATTCCAGGATGAGCTCAGTGGCACACTACTAACTCAGCATGAAGAATACCATAAATACAAACAAAAATGTTTAGCATGACAATCAGTGGCAAGGACTGGAATTCAAGCTAAACAGACTGATAACAGACTTGTAAGGTCTAGGTTATTTCTACTAGATTTCATTCTGTCCTGTATTGTCTTGTCTATGCCCCCATTTATGCATTGTCTTCTCACTGTTGTGTTATACCCCTGAAAGTAAACAAAAAAAACGTGATTTCTAATAGAGTAAAAAAATTATGTGATTGAGAGAGAGACCTCTTCCTTTTTGCGTGACAGGCATCTCTTGACAACATCAGCCTCCAGAGAAGGCCTCTTCTCAATGTCCACCTGCTCATAGTACTTAGACAGGCGGGTCTGGCCCTGCTTGTTAACCATCAGAAGGAACTTGATCATGGTGACCTCTAAGTCCAGTGTATCTGCAAAAAACAAAATAATGATATACACTACCGGTCAAAAGTTTTAGAACACCTACTAATTCAAGGGTTTTTCTTTATTTGTACTATTTCCTACATTGTAGAATAATAGTGAATAAATAAAAACTATGAAATAACACATATGGAATCATGTAGTAACCAAAAAAGTGTTAAACAAATCTAAATATATTTAATATTTGATATTCTTCAAACAGCCACCCTCTGCCTTGATGACAGCTTTACACACTCTTGGCATTCTCTCAGCCAGCTTCACCTGGAATGCTTTTCCAACAGTCTTGAAGGAGTTCCCACATATGCTGAGCACTTGTTGGCTGCTTTTCCTTCACTCTGCGGTCTGACTCATTCCAAACCATCTCAATTTGGTTGAGGTCGGGGGATTGTGGAGGCCAGGTCATCTGATGCAGCACTCCATCATTCCATATCCTTCTTGGTAAAATAGCCCTCACACTGCCTGGAGGTGTGTTGGGTCATTGTCCTGTTGAAAAACAAATGATAGTCCCACTAAGCCCAAACCAGATGGGATGGCATATCGCTGCAGAATGCTGTGGTAGCCATGCTGGTTAAGTTTGCTTTGAAGTCTAAATAAATCACAGACAGTGTCACCAGCAAAGCACCCCCACACCATAACACCTCCTCCTCCATGCTTTACGGTGGGAAATACACATAGGGAGATCATCCGTTCACCCACACCGCGTCTCACAAAGACACGGCGGTTGGAACCAGAAATCCCCAATTTGAACTACAGACCAAAGGACACATTTCCACCGGTCTAATTGTGCATTGCTCGTGTTTCTTGGCCCAAGCAGGTCTCTTCTTCTTATTGGTGTCCTTTAGTAGTGGTTTCTTTGCAGCAATTCGACCATGAAGGCCTGATTCACACGGTCTCCTCTGAACAGTTGGTTGAGATGTGTCTGTTACTTGAACTCTGTGAAGCATTTATTTGGGCTGAAATTTCTGAGGCTGGTAACTCTAATGAACTTATCCTCTGCAGCAGAGGTAACTCTGGGTCTTCCATTCCTGTGGCGGTCCTCAAGAGAGCCAGTTTCATCATAGCGCTTGATGGTTTTTGCGACGGCACTTGAAGAAACGTTCAAAGTTCTTGAAATGTTCCGTATCGACTGACCTTCATGTCTTAATGTAATTATGGACTGTTGTTTCTCTTTGCTTATTTGAGCTGTTCTTGCCATAATATGGACTTTGTGTTTTACCAAATAGGGCTATCTTCTGTATACACCCCCTACCTTGTCACAACACAACTGATTGGCTCAAACGCATTAAGAAGGAAAGAAATTCCACAAATTAACTTTTAAGAAGGCACACCTGTTAATTGAAATGCATTCCAGGTGACTACCTCATGACGCTGGTTGAGAGAATGCCAAGAGTGTGCAAAGCTGTCATCAAGGCAAAGGGTGGCTACTTTGAAGAATCTCAAATATAAAATATATTTTGATTTGTTTAACACTTTTTTGGTTACTACATGATTCCATATGTGTTATTTCATAGTTTTGATGTCTTCACTATTATTCTACAATGTAGGAAATAGTAAAAATAAAGAAAAACCCTTGAATGAGTAGGTGTTCTAAAACTTTTGACCCGTAGTGTAAATAAATGGTGTAATTGCAAATCATGCACAAAGTCTTTGTGTAATAGCCTTTTTTGTTTGTTTATGCATCTGTAACTGATCAGTTATCTACATATCCCATTCAGCAGTCAGAAGGACTATGGCCAAGCTAAACTAACAACATTTCAGATGCGAGTAACGCTTCGAACACACCGACTGTGACATTTTCGTTTTGGGACACCAATAGTACATTCATTTCCAATGGAACGCTGTGTTTGCCTTGCTGCATTGCGTTGTAGAGGCAGTGGCAGTACGTTCTGTGTGGTGCATACGTTGGATTTGTCGAACATATGCGTCAAACTGTATGTGTAAACGGGTTGACAGAAATGGTAGCAGAAGGTGAATGTTGAACTTTTGTTGCACACATATCTAGATGATGCCGCATACTATTTTGTTCAAAGACACAGTCGGTGTGTTCAAAGCGTTCGATCCCCAATCAGCAGTCAGAAAACAATGCCGTCAGCAACTCAGTCAACAACATGGTGCTGGATATGAGATGGCTCCCTGAGTCATGCAAACAACCCCTGATAGAATCCTATTTCTATTATTTATCTGGTTCACAATGTGTGTGTTGTACAGATTGTAACTGTATTCACGCATGCCCAGGCTAATGTATTTGGATGACCCAAAAAAAGAAAAGGTGAGTATGTCCCATCATGCAGCGCGAGACATCCCCCCCCCCGGCAGTAAGGAGCCTCATATCCAACTCCAAGGATTGGACTAATGGCGGCCAACAAATCCGTACACTGAGAGCGAATCCAAAACATAGCCCTGTCTCACTACAACCGCCTAGCCATTCCAGGGAAAGGCATCGTCAAATTCATACGGGAACACTGATCTGAAAGGGGGAGGGGGGCGAATTCAAGCAGCAAATTGAGCTGGGACTTTCCTTTTCTTAAAAATGGATGAACACCCTGGCGGAGGAGTTGGAATGGCTGCCCCAAGACAGCAGCAGGGGAATAACAACGTTAATCCCCAAATCGGTGGTGGAGGTGGCTCAGGGATGGGGCAGCAGCAGCAAGACGAGATGCCACGGCCACAGCAATATACCATCCCTGGTATTCTACATTACATCCAGCACGAATGGGCCCGATTCGAAATGGAGAGAGCTCATTGGGAAGTGGAAAGGGCCGAACTTCAGGTAGCTATTAACATGCTAACGTTAGCTCAGCTAACTAACTAAATAAACACAGACGCTTGAGCAACAATGCATTAGTGTGCAACTTTTATGATTTTAGCCTATTTGCATCCAGTGACCATGCTTCGATAGCTTGTGAACGTCTACTATAGTTTGTCCAGTTAGAAAACAAATACCGTTAGCCACGGAAATCAGTTAGTTACCTGGCTGGATGATGATAGCTTAGCGCAGGCTGACAAATGCTGGCTTGGTAGTATATGATAAAGTGGAACATCAAGTTGATTTCTTTGCAATGTCTTACCCGTGGTTGTATGAATAATGTTGACTCTTGCTGTTGTGCTACTTATTTAGTCGTTTCATTTTAGAGAGTCGTTGAAATACAGAAGGATCTAATCAAACCGAATCCAGCGGACTGTCAACTAATCTCTGAGAGCAGCCATTTTGGTTTGGTCATTATGGCGACAACTTGGCTGGGTCCTCTTGAGTCACGGACAGGCTTGACTATGTTAGCTAGCTAGCTAGACAATCTTGAAAAGGAATGAATACCATATTGTTAATCACATCAATTGTGCAATATCTTTAACTTAAAGTTTGTAAAAATGTCACACAAAAAAATACCATGTAGTCTGATGCCATTTGGATGGTTTGTGCCTGTTATTAGCAAGCTAACATAAACAAAGTTAGCTAGCTAGCTAACTGTCCCAAGGCCCCACACGGTCTGACACACAGCACTGTCATTTACGATCGAACAAGTAAAACAATTCGCTTCAGGCTTTGTTAGCTATCTAGCTACATTCCTTTTAGAATTTCATTTTGTGTCACGGATGTGATCTTGGTCAATTGGATTATTTTTAGTTTTTCCGCTGTGGTTTGTTTTATGACATTTTGACAGGTTTTGTTATAAAAAGTATGTTATGACATCAGCTAACGTTATGTGACCTGTCGAGACTACCTGGCAGTCTTGCAGATATGAAAGTGAATGTTGGTTCAGTGTTGTGATTGTATTAAGGAATGTGGAGGTGTTGAAATGCAAGCAGTGCCAGAGAGTCAAGTACTGCTTTGTTTGAACACACCCCACACCAAGCCAGTTGAAGTGGAGGCAGTTGGGAGGTTGACTCCCCTTGTACTGACTTGCTCAGTGACACATACCTTCTTCACCGTGACTCTCACTCTGCACACTGATTCAAGGCCTACCAGTCAAGAGATTGGAATGGATATAAGGCAGCACAGGCTTCCGCATCCCTGTAGTGCGCTACATAGCCACGGTCTGTCTGTGTCTCTCTCCCTCCCCCCTCCCCTACAGGGTCATGACAACTAGATGTCATGACCCTGTAGAGAATTGATTGTTTAACTAGATGGCCAGAAAATTAGCACGTTTTAGAGTTCTGTTAAGGGTTAATGTACAGCAAAAAAATAAAATAATATATATTACCAGTCAAAAGTTTGGACACACCTACTCATTCAAGGGTTTTTCTTTATTTTTACTATTTTTTACATTGTAGAATAATAGTGAAGACATCAAAACTATGAAATAACACATGGAATCATGTAGTAACCAAAAAAGTGTTAATCATATCAAAATATATGTTATATTTGAGATTCTTCAAATAGCCACCCTTTGCCTTGATGACAGCTTTGCACACTGTTGGCATTCTCTCAACCAGCTTCATGAGGTAGTCACCTGGAATGCATTTCAATTAACAGGTGTGCCGTGTTAAAAGTTAATTTGTAGAATTAATGGTTTTGAGCCAATCAGTTGTGTTGTGACAAGGTAGGGGGTGTATACAGAAGATAGCCCTATTTGGTTAAAGACCAAGTCCATATTATGGCAAGAACAGCTCAAATAAGCAAAGAGAAACGAAAGTCCCTCATTACTTTAAGACATGAAGGTCAGTCAAAAGGTACATTTCAAGAATTTTGAAAGTTTCTTCAAATGCAGTCGCAAAAACCATCAACCACCATGGTCCTCTGTAGCTCAGCTGGTAGAGCACGGCGCTTGTAACGCCAAGGTAGTGGGTTCGATCCCCGGGACCACACATACACGAAAATGTATGCACGCATGACTGTAAGTCGCTTTGGATAAAAGCGTCTGCTAAATGGCATATTATTATTATTATTATTATTATGAAACTGGCTCTCATGAGGACCGCCATAAGAATGGAAGACCCAGAGTTAGCTCTGATGCAGAGGATAAGTTCGTTAGTTACCAGCCTCAGAAATTGCAACCCAAATAAATGCTTCACAGAGTTCAAGTCACAGACACATCTCAACATCAACTGTTCAGAGGGGACTTTATGAATCAGGCCTTCATGGTCAAATTGCTGCAAAGAAACCACTACTAAAGGACACCAATCAGAAGTCCTGCTTGGGCCAAGAAACACGAGCAATGGACATTAGACCGGTGGAAATGTGTCCTTTGGTCTGGAGTCCAAATCGGATCATTTTTGTTCCAATCGCCTTGTCTTTGTGAGACGCAGTGTGGGTGAACGGATGATCTCCGCATGTGTAGTTCCCACCGTAAAGCATGGAGGAGGAGGTGTTATAGTGTGGGGATGCTTTGTTGGTGACACTGTCTGTGATTTTTTTTAGAATTCAAGCATGGCTACCACAGCATTCTACAGTGATACGCCATTCCATCTGGTTTGGGCTTCGTGGGACTATCATTTGCTTTTCAACAGGACAATGACCCAACAGGCCAATGCAAATTGTCCGGGTAGCCATAATTAGCTGTTCAGGAGTCTTATGGCTTGTGGGTAGAAGCTGTTAAGAAGCCTTTTGGACCTTGACTTGGCGCTCCGGTACCGCTTGCCGTGCGGTAGCAGAGAGAACAGTCTATGACTAGGGTGGCTGGAGTCTTTGACAATTTTTAGGGCCTTTCTCTGACACCACCTGGTATTGAGGTCCTGAATGGCAGGAAGCTTGGCCCCAGTGATGTACTGGGCTGTACGCACTACCCTCTGTAGTGCCTTGCGGTCGGAGTCCGAGCAGTTGCCATAACAGGCGGTGATGCAACCAGTCAGGATGCTCTCGATGATGCAGCTGTAGAACGTTTTGAGGATCTGAGGACCCATGCCAAATATTTTCAGTCACCTGAGGGGGAATAGGCTTTGTTGTGCCCTCTTCACGACTGTCTTGGTGTGTTTGGACCATGATAGTTTGTTGGTGATGTGGACACCAAGGAACTTGAAGCTCTCAACTTGCTCCACTACAGCCCCGACGATGAGAATGGGGGCGTGCTCAGTCCTCCTTTTTTTTTTTACCCTGTAGTCCACAATCATCTCCTTTGTCTTGATCACATTGAGGGAGAGGTTGTTATCCTGGCACCACACGGCCAGGTCTCTGACCTCCTCCCTATAGGCTGTCTCATCGTTGTCGGTGATCAGGCCTACCACTGTTGTGTCGTCGGCAAACTTAATGATGGTGTTGGAGTCGTGCCTGGCCATGCAGTCATGGGTGAACAGGGAGTACAGGAGGGGAATGAGCACGCACCCCTGAGGGGCCCCTGTGTTGAGGATCAGCGTGGCAGATGTGTTGTTACCTACCCTTACCACCTGGGGGCGGCCCGTCAGGAAGTCCAGGATCCAGTTGCAGAGGGAGGTGTTTAGTCCCAGGGTCCTTAGCTTAGTGATGAGCTTTGAGGGCACTATGGTGTTGAATGCTGAGCTGTAGTCAATGAATAGCATTCTCACGTAGGTGTTCCTCTTGTCCAGGTGGGATAGGGCAGTGTGGAGTGCAATAGAGATTGCATCATCTGTGGATCTGTTGGGGCGGTATGCAAATTGGAGTGGGTCTAGGGTTTCTGGGATAATGGTGTTGATGTGAGCCATGACCAGCCTTTCAAAGCACTCTGTGAAACATAAGATATTACAATATTACATATTGTCCCGTTGGTAGGATATTCGTGATCGTAGCTAGTCTATTTTGTTATCCAATGATTGTACGTTGGCTAATAGGACTGATGGTAGAGGCAGATTACCCACTCGCCGTCGGATCCTTACAAGGCACCCCGACCTACGTCCCCGATATCTCCATCTCTTTCTCCTGCGGATGACGGGGATTTGGACCTTGTCTGGTGTCTGAAATAAATCCTTCGTGTCCGTCTCGTTGAAGAATAAATCTTTGTCCAGTACGAGGTGAGCAATCGCTGTCCTGATATCCAGAAGCTCTTTTCGGTCGTAAGAGACGGTGGCAGAAACATTATGTACAAAATAAGTTTCAAATAACTTGAAAAAACACACAAAATAGCACAATTGGTTCGGAGCCCGTAAAATGGCAGCCATCTCCTCCGGCGCCATTATAGCTCAGTTACCTGATGTGGAATAGGGTCCCATGTAGCCATGGCTCCATGTAGTACTGTGTTCCTCCCATAGTCTTTTCTTGACTTGGGGATTGTAAAGAGACCTTTGGTGGCATGTCTTGTGGGGTATGCATGTGTGTCCGAGTTGTGTGCTAGTAGTTTAAACAGACACCTCGGTGCATTCAGCATGTCAACACTTCTTACAAAAACAAGTAATGATGAGGTAAATCTCTTCTCCACTTTGAGCCATGAGAGATTTACATGCATATTATTAATGTTAGCTCTCCATGTACATTTAAGGGCCAACCGTGCTGCCCTGTTCTGCACCAATTGTAATTTTCCGAGATCCCTCTTTGTGGCACCTGACCACACCGCTGAACAGTAGTCCAGGTGTGACAAAACTAGAGCCTGTAGGACCTGCCTTGTTGATAGTGTTGTTAAAAAGGCTGAGTAACGCTTTATTATGGACAGACTTCTACCCATCTTAGCTACTATTGTATCAACATGTTTTGACCATGACAGTTTACAATCCAGGTTACTCCAAGCAGTTTAGTGATCCTCAAAATTTCCACATTATTTATTACAAGATTTATTTGAGGTTTATGGTTTAGTGAATGATTTGTCCCAAATACACAATGCTTTTAGTTTTTTAAATATTTAGGACTTACTTATTCCTTGCCACCCATTCTGAAACTAACTGCAGCTCTTTGTTAAGTGTTGCAGTGATTTCGCTAGCTGTAGTAGCCGACGTGTATCGTGTTGAGTCATCCGCATACATAGCCACACTGGCTTTCCTCAAGGTGCCCTGGGGAATTCCTGATTCTACCTGGATTATGTTGGAGAGGCTTCCATTAAAGAACACCCTCTGTGTTCTGTTAGACAGGTAGCTCTTTATCCACGATATAGCAGGGGGTGTAAAGCCATAACACATACGTTTTTCCATCAGCAGACTATGATCGATAATGTCAAAAGCCGCACTGAAGTCTAACAAAACAGCTCCCACAATATTTTTATCATCAATTTCTCTCAGCCAATCATCAGTCATTTGTGTATGTGCTGTGCTTGTTGAATGTCCTTCCCTATAAGCGTGCTGAAAGTCTGTTGTCAATTTGTTTACAGTAAAATAGCATTGTATCTGGTCAAACACAATTTTTTTCCAAATGTAGTTCTCTCTTGTTGAAATTGAACTCACTAACTCAATGTAGGCTTATGTTCATACCTTAGTATGTCTT